GGAGTGTACGGTGTGCGGTGTGTTTTGAATTAGACTTACGGCTTACCTAGTTGTTATCCTAATTGCATTATCATCGGTACATATAATAAATAAACTACTGGTAAGTTTAAATACCAAGTGCAAACGTGTTCAGTCAATCGACCCACTGAAAAACTATAGGATTTCCAAGACCCTATTATTCTCTGGCCATATATTACGGCACGATCGATTGTTAGATGGCTAAACGACCAACGTTAATCTATACAATTCTAAAACTATGAGCTAGCACTTTAATCTAAAAATACACTTTTTATATTACTACTGATTTTTACATTTCACGTAAAACATTGTCGCCACAGGTTGATTATGGACACTAACAGCTTAATTTGAGATAAATGACTTATGAGTTTCTCTAAAGTTAACTCTAAAGTTGTGTAGTCCAGTCATTTATGGACATTTATGGAAATGATCCTGCAAATGTTCAAATACTCACGAAACTTTGCACAGACCTTCCTGAAGGTATGAATAAACGATTTTCGTTTGGAGACATTTTTTGACCGTAGAGAAAACCCAGGAGGGCCACGCCCATATTGACCAAATAACGTAACCGACCCCTTGCTTCTGAAGGTCGTAGAGACTTTAAAATAGGCTTAAACGAAGCGGCATATGCATGTTTATATAGGAGTTACTGAGCAACACATGGCCTAAAATCCTTACTTTCCGAGAACTTTGCCAAAAACCATTTTGGGCGGGGTGCTGAGCCCATTTTCGATAGGATCGTGATAGAGTCTTTAGACAGGGTGCAAAAGAACCGCAATTAGCATATTAATATATGACTTACGAACAAACATATGCCTTAAAGTGCTTACTTTTTCAGTTATTGGCGAAAAACTGATTTCCGGTTCCAGAAATCATGCAAAAATATGGGTAGCTCGTTAATTGGGCTATGAAGGCCCTACAGATTTTTGAATGAGTGCAAATTGTGCAGAATGGCCATGTTTATATACAACTTATGAAGCAACATGTACCCTAAAATACTTACTTTTCGAGTTATTTGGGGGAGAAACATTGTATTATGTCCATTTTCTACCTGTAAAATACAGTCTCACGAGCTCATCTGTGCGCGCAAGGGACTTTATGACGTCATCGCCAAAATAATACAAACGCTAATTACACGCGTTAGAGAGCAGTTAGAGATTTAGGAATTTCGACTCGTTGCTTAGTTTGCTATTTGTCACAATCTGTCAAAATATGAGGATAACTTTTTTTTCAGTTAACTGGTCCTTTAACGAGGTACACAAAATGCTTGATAACTTCGTCATTTCTAATCCGTTTTGCCTCATGTTTTCAGATCAGATGCAACATTTAATAATCTAACGTATCTGAAAAAAATTAGGCCTTCAGCATGTTCAGAGATAAAAATAAAGGTGTTTTAATATTGAGTGGTCTAAAATATTCTAATTTTAAAATTTTGACGACGGAATCCTCGAACAAGTAGGTACAGTATGCCATCTGCAAAGCAACAACCATCAAATATATAACACGGCGGTGGTATGAGACCCAACGTATGGGTACTAACTTTTGGCCCCCCCCCCCCCCCCCCCCCCCCAGCCCCCTGTACTATAAAATATAGTTTTCTTACCCTCATTAGGGATGGATATCTCTGAGAACTGTAGGACCTCGTCTTTCCTCGTTTGCTGAACCACAATCCAGTTCCCTATTATAGTGTCAGTGCAGGTAAGTGTTTGTTGTATAGGCTCCGGTTCCGTTGTGATGGTGATGTCTGGTAGTGTGTAGTCAGGGGCAGTTCCACACTCTGATAAGTATTACTATTAGATACATGAGGGACACTCAGAATTAAATTGCGGTCTGTTTGGACTGAGCGATTTCATACTTTCCCACTGTTTTAACTACGAAAATGTAATGCGTGTTTTTGAAAATTTATGGTAGGAGGGTTTATACTATTGTATTTCTACTGGGAAAGTGAAGTCCCAGCCGTAGGCACCGGTTGCACTAGTTGTATCATAATACCATTAAACTAACCAATTAATGATGACTCCCCCTGTTCAGCTATGCCAATTGATACCTTAATCCCGCGAAGTCGCTTCCAGGTCGCTAGACATTTAGCAATCTCATTTTTACACCAGTCATCGTATCGATAGAAGTAGAGGGTAACTGTCGTTACCTGCTTGCTTTTACTGCGATTTTTAAGGGAAATAAGTCAGTGTTAACAAATTACCGGAAAATGCATCCTATTTGTTCGTCGACATTTTAATTAATTTGATCGATAATAAAGCTTGACGACAAACTTCGATTCTCATGACAGTGGGTTCAATGATCTTACGAGTATGTAATGTTGAGTGTTGGGAAAGATTCAAAGTCATCACTGTCCACGTCCATGGAGTGAACGTAAGTCTTCTTGTCATCATCAATTGCGTTGTTAGGGTCCTTATTGAGTATATTGATTGATGAAATTTCCACAGTGGCTGCTGCTTTTACCTCTTCACCTTAAATTTCAAAATTTTATTATGTGTAAATTGTAAATGTATGGTAGTTTTAAAATACCTGAACAGCTATAATTAATCTCATATAATAAGTGAGATATAATTAATCTCACTTAGCAGTAGAGATACGGAATATATATCCCATAGTATGGACTTTAATTATTTAAATATTAGACACGAAACACGACTAGGCACGTGACACAACTTACCACACATTAAAAGCAATGCCAGGACCGTCCAAACCAACTTTTCCACTTTCATCTCTAGTTTCACAGTAGACGTATTACTCGCTACAGATCGGGATTGATAACTTTGCCAACTTTGAAAAAAATGAAATGAAGCAAGTTACCTATAAATGAAGCAAGTTACCTATATCCAAAATGAATATTACGAAGAATTATCCCATAAGTTTAGAGTGGCTCACTTATCAATAGTTTCTCATTGGAAAAATGTAACTAATTACAGTGAATTTAGCGTCGTTTGCTTCTTATACCGTTAATTATTTAATCTAAAACATTATTACGAAACAAATTAATCCGAATTATACGCTCTATGAGATGTTTATGTTCACTAAACAACCAACTGACGGATAAAGAAAATAAATGTTTGTAACGTGGTACAAGATAATTAAGTAAGGACCAGCGCACGTGCACTACACGTTAGGGGTGGGGGGGGGGGGGGCATTAGTCAGTACTCATACGTTGGCCTTAATAGCTGAGTCACTGAGTGCCCAATTGAAATAATTCTTTCTAGTATGACTTACTACCACCATTACTGTATTACTAGAGACCAGGCCTCACGACGTGCACCAGGGCGTTTTTAACTCCAAGGTGATGTTGCACGTGCTGAGAGTGATGTTGCACGTGCTGAGATATTTTGTAATTAAAGGCAGGTGGGGTTGGTAGAACATGCTTATAATTTCCTCGTGCTCAGATAAATATAGCTTTTAATTATATTTCCTGAAATTTTTTATTACATCGCCCAATAGTAACTACCAGAATTAGACAGAGGATGAAGACGGTTATTAACTTAGCTCTGAGGATCTGAAATATACGTAGATTAACATTACATAACCCTTATGTTATGGCCCACCACACGTCTTTACTTGCCCTGCTATTCATCAAACCAGCTGAGAAATCAGAAAATACTGATTAAAAATGGAATGCTGATCAGTGATCTAGCAACGTGGAGTTGGATTATAGAGTAGTGAGATGTCTGATTTGTGAGGAATATCTTTGGAAGTGTTCAAAATTATTATTTTGTGAACAAATAAGTCGTTATTACTGCGAGCAATCTCATTGAAAAATGTGAATGTGTAGGTAGAATTGCTCTGAGCAGGCAACAAGAATAAAACGATAATGTCATCACAACTACATGTTATTATACAGATAAGAAGTTATACATCTATCAAGTTTGTTGACTTTAACCTAACTGAAGAAAGAAATATTCGTATTCCGGATCAGGGAAGGACAGGGTCGCACGCCTATACACTAGTCCAAGCACCTGCTAGTACCGAAGCAAAGGACCCAGCATGTAACCTAATATTAATAACCTGACATCAGATCTAGAGACCTGCTACTGGACCCTGAGATCCGATCCAAAAGACCTGGCATATTACTTAATTATCCGAGACTAGGGTTTCAATGGTAAGAACAACTGTGAATGAGCTGACCGTGAGCCAAAGTGAGTAACGGGCAGTGCAACCCAACCCATGCCTTTTAAATACACGATAATCAGGGGCAGGGCAGGAGTTTACTTTCAATGTTTTATTAATTAGCCATGTCGTGAGGTCAAAATGAGATGAGCAGTTTGAGGCGTCAAGGATATTTTAAGTGGCCCTATATACATTTGACCTGTAGACATTTGTTTAATTAATAATTCATCTTTGAGCACTTGTCTGCTGGGCGACGGAAAATTTCCTGGAATGAGACCAAGTTGAAAACCATGGATCATGGAGATTCGTTTTCAGTTTACTGCCAAATGCTATACTACCACAGATGGATAGAGGGTGTGGCCCCCTTTTAAGGTACTGATTGATGAATAGGCTGCAACATATGAAAACAAGTGACAAATAATAAAATTAAATAACGAAAAAAAAGAGATCGAAGTTTGAATATTGCCCCCGGCCCCGGGCCCCCTTGCAGGTTGAATTGCTCTGTGCAGGCAACAAGGTTACCATGTTAAGGTTTTTTTCTACACATAATACCGAAAAAATATGTTTTACAATTCAGATCACGATCTCCTGTTTTGCTGACACATGTTCAAACGGAAACGTTTGAGAATTGTCGAGATTAACTTACTCATCAGTGCATAAAATGAAAAAAGAGATCTCGTTTTACAATAGTCATTACTGTTCACTGTTGTTTCTCTTGACGTTGTTATCTTGTGTTCATCTCTACTTTTAGATAAATTCAACTTTCAAAATATCACAAATTTTACTTTCACCGGGCTTCTCTTCAATATGTATTATCTCTTAAAAGTGCTAAATTAAGTAAGTCAGCCAAAGAACACAAGAACATGAACGGACTAATGCCTGGTGACAATGGGGGAGTGGGTGGAGCTCTCAGATCTGCTATTCCCGGAGTTTCAGGACCCTGGAGTTCTCCTCTGTTCGGCTGCTTTGACGATATCGGGATATGTGAGTTCTGATAATACTGCACTGATTGCGGAAACGAAACCAAACTATTTGTTTGATATGCTGTAACTTCAGATAACGAGATGGCTTTGTTTGTATCTGCAAAATATAAGATAAAACTAGAAAAGTGTTCTATAAATCGATATATTGATATTTGTTGGAGCTGTAAAGTTATCTCTCATCTTGCACAGGCCTGATCGCATGGTTCGTGCCCTGTGTGACAATAGGACAGAACGCTGAGGGAGCTGGAGTTTCTGATTGTTTGATTGGTGGTCTCCTGTCTTTGGTGCCTCTTGTCAACATATTCTGCTTGTTCAAGATCAGGGGCGCCATCAGGGAGAAATACAATCTTGAGGTAAGACATTTTAAGATAAAATGAATGTACTGAATTTGACATGTTGAGTACATTATTGTGAGAATCGCATTCAACAGATTAATAGGAGGCAGCCCTTTACTAGATTGCATTGACCATTCATATTGGGTCTAAGGTTACATTCCTGATATTGATCTAACCCCTCCAGGGAAGTCCCGTGATGGATCTTGTCATGATCCTTTGCTGTCCTCTCTGTACAATCTCACAAGAGGCCAGGGAACTGAAATCTCACGGAGTCAGCGCTGCTCAGCCTCAGATGCCACGTGTCTAAGTTGTTGGCAAGGGAAGATGAGAACCTCTGGAATATATAATGTAGTTACAGGAGAGGAGGAGATGCTTAGCAGTTGCTCTCAGTTGCAGATGATTGAGTAAAGTATATATAGACTTACGAAGATAAACGGACAGTTAAGAATGAAATTACGTAATTGATAAATAAATTGATTCAATTGATTCAAGGATATTACTTCATATTCGAAGTTTGGAGGGCTATAAATATAACTCTTATTAAACCAAAGACTTAAAGGACAATTGATGTCACTGTCAGGAAGCTTGTACAGGCAAAATGGTTCATAACGATTTGAAAAATTGTGAATTTTATTTGTTCCCAACCTGATTGAAATTTTGCTAAGCCGTAGAATTATAACCGTAAATCTGTTATGATAAATAACAGATGTTTGGTCATATAAACATGTGGATAAACCCTGCTGGCTCAGTCATTCGGTTTAAGGCAAGTCTTCATCAACTTTAGGAAAAAATGCAATCAGAAAGTTAAGACTTTCCATTCTTCTTGAAAATTATCTTTTTTACAGTATTTCATACAATTTTTATTGCTCACTTTGCTTGCACTATCTTCTTTTTGACGGAAGTACAGAAAGAAAGCTTTTCTCGAGATGTACTCGCACTATATCACGAACTGACATTTCATTTCTTTTGTCTATTTTTTGGTCTTTGTACTATAAGTTATAACACAAGAAGCAAGAGAATTGAGAACCCGGGGAGAAGGTGTCGCTATGTGTCGCTAGGTGTCGCTATGTGTCGCTAGGTGTTGCTAGCTAGGTGTCGCTAGGTGTCTCTAAGTGTCGCTAGGTGTCTCTATGTGTCGCTAGGTGTCGCTATGTGTCGCTAGGTGTTGCTAGCTATGTGTCGCTAGGTGACACTAGGTGTCGCTATGCCTCGTATATAGATCACGGTGTGAATGTGTCTAGTCAAGATAAATGTGATCGTATATTAAATCATTATTATTATATGAAGGGTATGGTTGCTGAATGACGAGGGAAGTAACAAAAGAATATGTTAGGAGCTTGAGACAAAATATTGACTTATAACTCATCATTTATTTTCTATTCATGTAATGTTTCATTTGTTCTAACTAAACAACTTTGAGACACAATTTATTATCACAAAAAACAAAGATATGTGGTGAAAATAGCGAGAATAAACAATGGACAATATATCTCATAATTTTAAGTGCTCTCCACCGTCAGATGAGTAATTTGTGGGGTGATGATAAGAAAGAGACTCGTGGCTGCTTAGAATAAGGGGTTTTAGGCTAACTTTGACTATATTTTCAATCTGTGCTAACATTGGTGGAAATGCACCGCTCGGATAACGCTTTTATTCTATGCTGAATAACACTAAACAGATTAGCACGAGCAAATTAATAAATCGTATTCAAATGATCAAGTTTCAGAAATTATTTAAATTACTTAAAACCCAATACTCTAATTTATGAACAACGATCGAAGAGACTATTTAGCTATTCTACTGATCATTCGACCGGTGCATTTCAATATATATATTCAATTATTCACTCCAATCAAGCATCCTTTTACTGACGATATGCTGAATTTCTCCGTGGACGACATCATTAAGGCCATTGAAGACATCAAACCTAATGCTGCATCAGGTCCTGACGAAATTCCAGTCACCCTTCTCAAGAACTGCAAGAAAGCCCTAGCAGAACCAATGCACATCATCTGGTCCCGCTCTTTAGTTACTGGGGAGGTCCCTAGTTTCTATAAGTTCTCACACGTATTTCCTCTCCACAAGAAGGATAGTCGAGCCAAACCAGCTAACTACCGACCTATATCACTCACCTCTCATGTGGTTAAAGTATACGAGAGGGTGATAAGAAAAAAGCTGGTAAACTATTTGGAGATCAACAACCTCATATGTAGTAAGCAGCACGGATTTAGATCTGGCCGGAGTTGCCTTACTCAACTTCTCCACCATTTTGATGACGTTTTGGATTCTCTGAGCAACAATTCAGATTTTGATTCAATATACCTCGACTATGCCAAGGCTTTCGATAAAGTCGATCACAAACTCCTACTGAGAAAGCTCCAACTCTATGGAATCCATCCTAAAATCATAAAGTGGATAGAATCTTTCCTCTCAGACCGGAAACAAGCAGTTGTTGTTGACGGTCATCTGTCCATCCTTGCACTGATAATCAGCGGAGTTCCACAAGGTACTGTTTTGGGGCCGATCCTTTTCTTGATTTTTATCAATGATATCGAACATTGTATCATGCACTCTATAATTCGATGTTTTGCTGATGACACTCGCATATCCATTGCTATCAAATCGGAGCATGACGTCAAGCTCCTCCAAGAAGATCTGCAAAATGTCATTGACTGGTCTGAAAGAAATAATATGGCCCTTCACAAAGACAAATTTGAGTACATGTGTCATAAATTCAACCACCAATATGTACTATCTGAACTTCCATTTGTGGTTGAACACTATCAATACTCAGTTTCCAAAGACACTATACTTGAGCCAATACATCAGCTCAGGGATTTAGGCGTCATAGTGTCAAGTGATCTCTCTTGGTCCCCACACATACGAGCCATTGCAGATAAAGCTCGCCAAAAAGCATCATGGGTTCTCAGTGTATTTCACACACGATCTCACTCCATCATGCTGACGCTATACAAATCAATGGTTCGAAGTCTGATTGAATATTGCTGTCCATTATGGCATCCCTCAAAAATCAGCGATATCCAAGAACTGGAGAGTGTACAGAAAGCATTCACCGCCAGAATATCAGGAATGCGCGATCTCCACTACTGGGATCGCCTGGTCTATCTATCTCTGATGTCTCTTCAACGAAGGCGGGAGCGATTCATCATTCTCCATATGTGGAAAATCCTCCACGGAAAGACCAGCAATGATCTGAACGTTCTATTTGTTTCACTCCCAAGGCTTGGAAACCTTGCAGTAATTCTATCAAAATGTAGAACCAGTTCAACAGCAAACCTCACCTTGTTTGACAACTCATTTGCAGTTCAGGGACCTAAATTGTGGAATGCAATCCCCTACCATCTGAATGTCATTCAAGATCTAGAGCACTTCAAAGATAAGCTCACAAAGTTCATGTTGTCTCTCCCTGATAAGCCGCCGATCAGGGGATATACTCCTCCAAATACGAACTCTCTGCTGTGCTGGCGCAACGAGCGAGACTCTACTTCGCTATGGGGTGGTCAGAAGATGTGATGGCCCCGTCAAGTCTTGACGAAACTCAACATAGGTCACATAGGTAGGTAGGTCACTTACCACCAAAAATCTAAATCGAGCACAGAAGGCTGCAAAATTCGGGTAATAACCATAGGCCTAAAAGGTCATTGGAGGGGTCTCATACGCGGAAGAAGGAGTGAAAGAGTTACTGTGTGGTACAGGCCACTCTAACGACAAGGAGGAGACCTTTTCGAGCGAGATTGCTAAAAGATCCTCGTCCCGGGAGAAGGAGGACAGCCAACCTCTAATTTATAATTTATGTGGTTTTGTTCTCGCAGGAACCAGCTCAGCCGATCTGGTGTAATTGGTATTGACTCCCCATTGACTCTTGCTCAATAGTCGATATCTGACAAAAGCGATAGTTATAATGGTAAAGTTGCCTCCTGCAATACATGATCTGGATCATCTACAATATATATCCTTTCTTAACTTAATGTAGAGTTCGGCGTTCATTTTTAAGGGTTTCAAAGGGTTAATTAATGTTTCGTAAATTATCTGTGATGATTTCAATTTCGATGTTTTTAAATTTATTTATGAAACTATTTATTATTCTTATGATCTTATCTGTATATGTTTTTGAAAAATGATAAATTTGTATGTTATGATAATTTTAAAAGTGTACTTTTGACCCCAATCAAGTATACAAAATATCAAATACCACAATATAATATAATAAAGCAAGGTCTGCTATTTCATTCTTTAATTTTAAATGTCTTAATTGTAATTGTATGAAAAGTTGAACCCATTGCACCCATATTATGTAAGCCATTTTTTGGGTCATTTTAGACCCCCTTCCCCATCTGTAAGCCAATTTACACGTAGCTGATTTAAATTACAGCTTTTTTGAGGTTAAAAACAAGGTATCATAAACAAAAATCACTAATTTCTAACAACTAATAGGAAAATGCCGATCAAAACCTTCCTTGACATCGAGATAGAAGGACGCCCGGTGGGTCGCATTGAAATAGAGCTGAGGGATGATGTCGTTCCCAAGACGGTGGAGAACTTCAGGTTACTGTGTACCGGGGAGAAGGGAATGTGCTACAAGGGAACCACATTCCATAGGATCATTCCTGATTTCATGTGTCAGGTTAGTAACGTAGTTACTTAGTAATCTGGTTACCTTTTTACCTGGTAATCTGGTTACCTGGTAATCTAGTTACCTAGTTACCTGGTAACCTGGTAACCTGGTAATCTAGTTACCTAGTTACCTGGTAATCTAGTTACCTGGTAATCTAGTTACCTAGTTGAAAATGTTCGGCACATGATGTAGATTGTAGATATCTCTCAACTGAAGCAAATTTTCCCCAAGTATGCCATGTACGAGTACATGACGTCATGGCAACCACATTCCACCCTTGACAACCACATTCCACCCTTGACAACCACATTTCCTCAGGGAGGAGACTTTAAAAGACACAACGGCTCAGCAGGAGGCTCAGTATACGGGGGGAAGTTTGAGGATGAGAACTTTGATCTGAAGCACACTGGGCCTGGTATCTTGAGCATGGCTAACTCAGGGCCTAATACTAACGGCTCTCAGTTCTTTATATGCACGGAGAAGACACCCTGGCTTGATGGTAAGTGTGAGGGAAGGGGGAGGGTTAATCGTGGTGTGTGAGGTAACGGTGAATTAAACGTCTCGTTACAGATGAACTAGAAATTAGAAAATTGTATTACTATTACAATTTATACAATTAATTAGTGAATGACAAATTAAAACATGTTTAATAAGCTCTTCGTGTATTAATCCATAATTAAATGGATTTTAATTATTACACAGGGAAGCATGTTGTGTTTGGGAAGGTGATAGAAGGGTACGAGAAGGTAGTGAAACAAATGGAGGCGGTGGAAGTGACCGAGGGAAGACAAGCCAACGTGTTGTTATTGCTGACTGTGGACAATTGTAAAGATCGTAGACGACCACTCGTAGCTTTCTGTATTCTTTGTTGAACTCGATCTTTCAATTTCTAAATTTAATAAACGTGCTCGGCTCGCTGACCAACTAGAAATGTAGCCTTAACATCTTAACGAACCGTGATTCAAATTGATAATTTCTCTAAATAGGAGAGCTTACTTATTGTAACTGTGAACTACTGCATTATTATAAATGTGCTTTTAAGCCGTCAATTTTGTGGCGTTTAGATCCGAGTTTTTATCTGTACCAATTATTGTTGTCTACTTTCTATTTCATTGTATTTTCCTTTTTGATAATCCTGTTATTATTACGCTAACTCTGCCATTTTTAATCGTTGTTTACTAGAGTTCAGTCATATTCTAAAAATAAGCCCATGAAGCCATGCAGGTAATTCGATAGAAAACACTGAGAATTTCTATTGTCTCAAAACAAGATTAGCCTGAAACTTCCCCTTGATAAGAACATATTTTGTTACCCCTAAAAAATAGCCACTAGTAAGATATTTTAATGTAATTATATCCTTTTTGATGTCGAATTTCAAAGATAAGCAATATCCGGATATTCTAGTTTTCTTGTTCTTAGAAACAGTTTTACAACTGAGGTCATTAAATTCCCTAACATGCAGGACATGAACTGCAAACTTGAGAAAACTGAGTACCTGTCCAAATCTATCAAACAAGCAATTTTGTGATATTGCAGAAACTAGCATAAACCTGTGATAGGACACCATCTTGTACAAGAACGTATCAGATCAGATCCAACGAATTTGTACAATAACTGTAACGAGAATAAGTTGTTAACGTTACCAAAACGTTACCAAGACAATCTGTTCGTATCCGTGTGGTAAATCCACTTTATGATGGCTGGAACTATAGTGGTACAAGTGGGCCAGTGTGGTAACCAGTTGGGAGATGCTCTCTTTGACAGGCTGTATTGTGAAGCTAGTGGTTGTAAAGACAAGGAGTTCTCTTCTGCCTGTTTTAGGAGGTTCTTTTCTACTGAAACAGGAGGTTTGTTGGTTTATCAATTGTTTTCCTGATATTATTCTGGGAACTAGGTCGGTTTATTTTAGATTTGAATCCGATATTTGACACTGGTGCCAATTTCCGTTTGTATTATACTGAAATTTTTTATTTCCCCGAATCAGCTTTATCCAGCCCCCTCCCAGATAAAGTTCACGTAGCCAACGCAGTACTAGTGGACATGGAGAGTAAAGTAATATCAAAAGTAATGTCCAGACAACAAAAGAGAAGCTGGTTCTACAATCCTAACGCTTGTGTGTCTTCTAAACAGGGATCAGGTAGGTAAACCTTTTCAAGTAGGAAGTCAGCACTAGATTAATGTCAACTTTTGGAAAACTTTAATAAATTTACACTAGCCTATACGCCCTACAAGTACATTCAGACAAAAACGAATTTGAAGATTTTATTTTAAATTATATCTTCAAAACTAAAACCACTCCAACTCTGAACAAGACTTCACACCGAGTGAACACTTAACCCCTCCTCCTCCAGGTAACAACTGGGCTAATGGTTACTGTAACTACGGCACTAAGATGGAGGAGGAGATAGTGGATGCAGTGAGGGTGATATCAGATCAGATTACCTCCGTCTCTGTGGTCCTCATCTTGATGAGCTCTGCTGGAGGTTTGTTGCAGGGGGATGGCATTTCCTGTTGTGAGAATTATGTAATGTAACGTGATGGAAATATTTTAAACGGGCATATCCTGTCCAAACCCAGGATGCACTACATGAAGAATTTGTTGTAACTTTGTTTGAAAAGCATTAATACGTTGCTACTGCTAACAACAAATGGTAGTTCTGAACCAGGATCACTTGATTTTATATTGTTTATATTCATGGTAAATCTAAAGATCTAATAGTAATATTTGTTGTTCTAATATCATGTGACTTTAACACTTCCTCTTTTAGGGACTGGATCCGGTTTAGGCTGCAAGATAACTGAGATAGTCAAGGAAGTAATACCAGGAGCACTTGTCATTAACCAGGTTATTATCGGTGTTGATCATAGAATTTGAATGATATTTCGTCCTTTCTGAAGTTATAAGTGTCTGTAAAGGTTAAGATTGTTCGGTGAGTCACCTTTTCCCAGCGACACCATCTCTTGTTTAGTAACGTCATCCCTTTCCAGTGACGTCATCTCTTGTCCAGTGACGTTTCATGTCTCAGGTGGTGTTACCGTTTACACACGGGGAGGTAGCAGTACAGAGTTACAACATGCTTCTCACACTCTCCTCACTTTACCAGAACTCTGACTCCATCATACTCTCTCACAACGACCAGGTAATCACCCTGGGACCCACTTATTCAGAAAATCCTCGAATTAACAGTATAGCCTCAGCTTCATTCCACACTTAAATGCAGATTTTCATTGAACATCTTTGTTTTTGACCAAGTCGGCAGAATTTAAATTCGACTTGAGTTTAACCTGTCCGGTATTCCAAGGTCACTTTGAATCCCTTTGAATCCACAAGTTGTTAATACGCGACTATTTTGTCAGGTTTTGTCGCGACTGCATTGACAAGTTGATAGGTGAGGAAACTCACCAATACCCACCCTCAATAAAATAACTCTTGTATCTCTCTTCCAGTACCAGGCACTCGCCAGAAGACTGCTCCCAGCCCGTTCCGGAGACAGTGTGTCCTTCTCTGAGATAAACTGTCTTATCTCTGCTCACATGGCCGGGTTACTCCTACCTAGTAATACCATATCTGGGGAGGAGGAGAAGGGAGAGGAGGTGACATCCCAGCTCATAGAGCTAGATCAAGTTAGAACGAAGATGTTACAGTGCCTTTAATACTTCCCATTTTGTAATTTTTATAGAATTCACATACGCTGTCCAGATTTATAATTCAAGATCCTGTTGTCAAAACATTCTCCAAGTACTTGATCAGGTAGTGGAGCACCTGGTTCCACACCCAGGATACAAACTACTGACCACGCGGATGATGCCAGTTGTTAGTGACTACTGTAGAGAGTTCACCAACACTTCATGGGAGATGTTAGGTCAGTTAGTATGCTGTCAATTTAATGATGGGAATGAATTATATTTTTGTGGTTTATTTTTTACGTGTCTTATGTTTTATTTATGAACATGTCAGTGCTTCAAGTTAATTACTACATCGTGGTTATCGCAAGGAAAGACTCTTTACAAAAGAAGTCTATGGGGATCTGAGATCAGGACCTATTCAACCTTACACATAGTTAGAGTACGCTTACGCAATCCATCGAGAGATTCGTGATTAACAGTTCTTAATAAAATTATAAATATAACTCGATTGAACTGTGAGCTGACTGCGTGTTGAAGCCGTTACCTCACCCCCTAACCACCAGGAAAGTACTCCAGACAAATGTTACTACAAAACAGTATACTTGACGAGAAGCTGACCTGGTCGGTGAAACCCCGCTCGGAATTGAAGACGTCCAACTGGAGGGTGTCCCTTAACACGTGTATCAGTAACCTGGTGGTTTGTAGAGGAACAGGATCACGTATCCCTCATATTCAGGTAAGGCTTCACTTACTAATCTTATCTTACCATATTCAATTCATGACCATAAATATAATCATCACATTAAGAAGTCACAGGGTCACATGAACACAAAGTCGATTGATTGATATTTTTCGCACTCCAAGTTGACCGATTTATCTGATCTAAATTTCGCAGGAAAAGTTTACTGTAGCAGACATTTACCTGAGAGAAAAAGTGAGATGTATGTTTGGATACTCTTCCTCTCCATTCGAAAAACTTGAAAAGTCCATGTTTGTACTGAGCAATGCGGAGAAAAATGGAGATTTTCTCGAACAACTCATCCAAGAATCGTGGGCTAAATTTCAAGCCAAAGCGTTTTTGTACCAATACGAGAGTTTTGGTCTGGGTGCCGATTGGTTTAACGAGAGCTTTGACATTGTGCAGAAAGTAGACCAGGATTACAGATACATATCTTACTCGGAATGAGATTATTCGTTCGAGGACATCAGGTTTCTACGGTGAAATAAAATACAGAAGAAGCCATCCTACACTAAAAAATAGTAGTGTATATTGTTCTTGGTCATAATTTACTTCTGCCCTGGATTCACATTCACTTCACACAAAGCATGAGATCAGAAACCCAGACAAGAGTCTCTGAAAGAGATATGTTTCTTAATGATAGACTGATTTAGATATAGAAATTTAAGTCAATTTGTTTTTTACTGCATAATTTAGGTAGTTCGTTACGTTTATACCTACCAAATTGATATTATTTTCTCAAATATATTCGGAATTTATTTTGCTGACTCTCTAAATCCGCAAATAGAGATCACTGTTACCACAGACAAACTGTAAATTCACTCGTTATTTATCTTGATTATAGCAGTAGAACGTAATAAAGAATGTAAGGAATGAAACTAGAGAAATATGCTGAAAACCCTGAAAAGCAAGAGGAAGAGGGTATCCAAAATACCAGCTCAAGCTGACTCACGTGAGTTTTGTGAACTAAAAATCTCATAAAACTTTCACAAATTCTATTTTTATGCCCTTTTATGTGCAATGCATGAATACAGTTGCGAGGAAAATAAAACAAGTGCAATAGATGCCAATAAAATTGATAATAGCGTCATTGCTGATCAGAAATTATAAATGAGTTATTATTTACTTTCTGAATTCATAAGTTCTCTCCCCAGAGCCCCTGGATACAACTTCCTCCCAGTTGCCCAGCTTCTTGGCTTCCGGTACAACTTCTGATATCACTGATGATGAAAAGACGGATAGAGGTGTGAAAACTGAACACCTGCCACCTAAAACTATTACGAATGGTTCTTGTGCTGAGTTGGTAATACGCTATATATTTTTTCATTTACAATTTAGTTTTGATCATACCCTCATAACCCTAAAAATACAAACCCATAGTAAGGCAAATCTGACAACTTATAACAAGCGAAAAATTAAGATAACTTCGGTCATTGACTACATCAACTTAGCTACACAATTACAACTGTTAAAACGTGAAAACTATAACTTTAAAATACTCATTAAAATCCAGAATACTGTGAAATGAATGGCAAAGTCACATAAATGTTTAAAACGCAAGTAAATAATAAATTCTAAAACATCTCCAAAGAATTCCTGTTAACATCTGACAGTCTGGACGATCTCACTTCTGCAAAAACCCACTTCAATTATCATAGGATCCAACAAGCTTTTCAATGTCCTCCAGGAACTCCTTCTTCTTCCTAAAATAACTCTCACGTTTAACCTCCAGATAGGGCTCCATATCCAAGCTAAATCCCTCATAACTCAGAGCCCACAGAGTCCAGGTCAACTCACTGCCTAGGGTTAGGAACTTCAGCTGGGTTAAATAGACCTGATCTGAAGTGTGCACCCCATGATCCCGGACTAGGGTCCTGTAGTGTCGGATCATGTCTAGCATCTTGGTGTCGTCAGGAAACCATTGGTATTTGAAGAGGAAGTAGGGTGGTTTATCGTGTGACCAGTCGTATTGCATCTCACAGCAATAGTTGGCGAGGTCGTAGAGACAGTGATTGTAACCGGAGTATTCATAATCAATAAGGGTCGGGGTGGGGGAAGTGGGTGAAGAATTGGGGGAAGAAGAGGGAGAGGAGGAGGGAGAGGAGCAGGGAGAGGAAGAGGGAGAAGAAGAGGTAGTGGGGATCAGTAAATTGTTCATGTTAAAATCATTGTGACAGAAAGTAACCCTCATGTCCCTTTCCAGCACCTCCAGAGTGCTAACAAACCATTCCACTTCACGTCTCCACAGCTCCGGATCTATTCTGACTCTGGTGATCTGGTCAGTCAGCTGTTTCTTCAACCACGGCTCCCTCGATAACGGCATCTCAATCTTGTGAACCTCTGCAATCATCTTTATCATCTCCCTGTACTTTGTACTGAACTCCTCCCTATTTATAGTTTTAGAAGGAAGGAACTCCTCAAACCTGCCCCCGTCAAATATACCCCTTATCTTCGGTACTCGTCTCAGCGTCCCCAGGTGACAGTTGATGTAGATATCCTCCTGGAGCCTCGAGGAGATCTGACTGCCGTAGATCCGGACTAGAACCTTGTCAAGGACTGTTGCGTTGGCGTCCAATAGTGTTGCTACGAGTATGTTGTTGCTGCAACCCAGACCTGGGGAAGGATCGGTTAACTTTTAATATAACTGTATGATATCAAGCGCCGTGAACAAGATGCATGGATTAGTGGGCACGTCCAGGGCATGCCACAAAATACTTTATCACTGTCAAAACCTTTTTTCAGTTCCGTGCTATATTTCGTTTTAATCCGCTAAATAGAGATCATCAAGTTTTCCTTTCAGCTCTTGTATCATGATTGGAAATTTCTCAAATTCCGTTGACAGACATTCTGCTAAATCGAACAGGTTGAAAGTGAGGTCAGGTTTGGGAAGATCGGCTGATACTGTGAATAGACAGCTTCAAGACCTTGATCAAGAAGCCATGATGCAGTTTTTAAATGCTGAATTTGCTGCTAAACGTACCAAGGGTACCCACTGCACCTCCAACTTAAAACGGACACGATCAGAGGTTGTATCGCTGGGGGAGGATATTATTAACGATGATATGCCTCAAATATTCGAGCATGTTCGGCAGAGCCAGCTATCTGTCAGACGTGAGATCTACAGCACGGCTCACACTTTGAGTTTAACATACCACATGACACCTAGCCAAATTGAAGGAGCTTTTATTGTTGTGAGTGGTTTGTTTGGCAGAAATTGGAAAGCATTTCAACCGAATACAGAGATAGACAAGGATACCCTGCCTGAGATGACTATTCTAGTTAGGAGAGGAAAGGCTCTTAGTCTCAACGATATTGTAAGTTAAATGTGCGTCCCGCGATTGGTCAGACGGCATAAACTATCGAGCATAAACAATTATTTTGTCAGGACTGCCATGGTAATCATATAAGAGCTCAAGCTTTTGGGTACAGGAATATTTTCCCTTTCATTTAAATAGTATAATACATGTTTTGTTTTAACTACTGATCATAAAGTCAATAATCGAAGGAAAACAAATTTAGACTCGGCTACCAAGAATTGAACTGCAGCACTGAAAATATGACAAACGACAGTGCAACGAATAACTTACCTAACTTGTCCACTACAATCTGATTATCAGCACCTTTCCAACCCAGATAAGGTCCACATAGTTCCTTTATCCTCTCTTCTAATTCCATTAAGTGCTGAAGTGTTATGTAAGAGATCTGATCTGGAATATATTAAACAGTTACACTAAAAAATTGAACGGTGTAAAATGTAACAGTGAGTAGCGATGCAGTGATAACAATAAATACACGGAAATGATTAGCACTTACTTCCTATTAGCCAACTATCGGGATTTTAATTGTATTGCAGAACCTTTTTCTGGCTAACAGCCGGCTGCTACGGTAACAGCCATTTAACAGTCATTGAACAGCCATTTTGGGGGCACAAATACCTAACAGCTCCCTAACAGCCGGTTACTAGCCATTTTATTTGCATTTTTAAGGGGTCGTTCACATATTATGTAATCAGCCGAGGGGGAGGGGGGTTTCCAAATGATTACGGTAGTGTAATTTTGACACAATAGTTATGTGCAAAACTGATTACGGAGGGGGGTGTACAAATTTCCAAACAGTGATTACGTAATATGTGAACGACTCCTAACAGCCAATTAACAGCACTTTCCGCCCACCTCGGTCAGCCCTTTGTTTCTAACAGCCGACGCTTACTCGTGCTTTGTTGTGGCTATTAGCCGGCTGTCAGAGAGCTGTCAGAGGGCTGTTACTGTAACAGCCAGCTGCCAGCTTATTGTGTAGTGTTCAGCTAAGCGTTAAAGTCTCTGTTATAAGAAGAAAATGACTGATCAGTAATGGTGTTATGAAGCCACAATCACCTCAAATTAACTCTGGGTAGAATCATACAACAGATCATGGTAAACAGTTATTATGTAGATCTCGTCACTGTAAGCCGGCTTACAGTGACGAGCGTGAGTTTTTTTTTTATTTAGTGTTTAGTAGGGAGTTCTCGACAGACAAAGTGAAACAAGGTAAATGACTGGTGAAAACTAAATGAAATTAGAATACTGAGGGTCTCACTTAAGTAGTTGCTAACTTACTTAAGTGAGACGCTTGTAATTATAAGAATTAAAGGAATTTAGTAAAGTGGACCTCAACTTGGCTAAACAATAAACATACACATAGTTTAAAATAATATGCTGCTTTCAAAATAATACATCCAAACAATAAGTTAAAAATAAGTTATCCGTAAACCCATTTCCTGTTTGGATGTATGTATTATTTTCAGAGCAGCATAATATTTTAAACTACCGTGCTTCCCTAGTCATTAAGTCATTTGCCTTGTTCCACTTTGTCTGTCGAGAGCTGTGATGCTGCCTATTAATTCACTAAACACTACAATGTTTATTAAGCAAAAGATTATGGGGGGGGGGCATCAACCTCATAAATACCTATATTATTCCTTCCGATTTCAAAATAGGTATAAGTGTTAACGTATATTTATGAGGTTTACGCCCCCCAGATTATATTAATACAAGAAATCGAAAAATAAATTATTAGAATAAAGTAAGCTAAGGAAAGTGTTAGTGTACTAAAAAAGGAAAGTTTATCACTAAACTAGTAAAATCGCCACCTTCAGAGTACAGACTGAACGCCTTTATCTCTTTATCAACAAAATAAATTACTTAAATACAAGACGTGATTCGTAATTAATTAAAAATTATTTGATTGACTTGAGATACGTCTTTTCATGTGACCATGATATTGATAACCAACTATCTAAAGATTCCGTTTAGATTCCGGTTTAGTGATTAAGTATCGTTTAGGCTAAAATTAGACACAAATTTATGGTTTCGTTTTAAACGGATAAAATGACGATGGGCATAAAGTTGTGGTTGCAGCCGAAAATTCACTTTTTTTGTTTCCGCATACTACATCTCAGTTTGTACTTTCAGGGGACGATATCAAATACACATTGTCACACAGTAAATATGAAATAAAACATTAAATATTAACCTACTTTATTGACATAAGGTGATAAAAAGAGAACAAGAAAGGCACAAAATTCCGTGGTTGACTAGCAGTAAAAATACCAAATATCAGACAATAATGTGAATAGGTACAAATGCAACATAATCATCCGACACAGTCACGTACTCGAGCAGTGGAAATACCATTATCGTTCTGCCTGCTACATTTGAAAAAATAGAGCTTGCCAAGAGTACTCCCCGCCAAAATCAAACGTAAGTGGAACTGCAAGGGTAAAGCTTACGAACTGTAACTTACATTGCTTATCTTTGAGTTGCACATAACTAAGTAGCGGTAAGTGCTAACGAAATTTAATTTTAAATTTTACCCTATTCCATTCCAGTCGTTAAAGTGGCTCTCCAAATTTTATTTGGTTGTGAAATTTAATAAGATAAAATAAATGTTATTTGGGGGTCATTCACATATTACGTAATCAGCAGAGTGGGGGGGTTTCCAAATGATTACGCTAGTGTAATGTTGACACAATAGCTATGTGTTAAACTGATTACGAAGGGGGGGGGGGGAAATTGCCAAAAAAATTACTACGTAATATGTGAACGACCCCATATGTACTACTCAACCGAAGAATTGGTGAACTCATTTTCACATATAACTTGATTATCTGCGCTACCAGCGATAAATGTCGTACAGCATCATGACGTGATACAAAACGGAATCTAAGCCAATTTTCTATCTAACCATACATTTTTTCTGTTTGAACGACTAGGTTACAAGAACACAATATTGACCATATTCAGAAATTTCCGTTAAGGTAATCAAACGACATAAGTATTACGATAACTACCAAACCACGACTATATAAATACTACGTAACTATACGATTGTTCAAGTAAATGATACATCAACACTTAGGCAACAAACCCTAACAAACTACGCTATTTTGTATGTCTTCTTATCACAGCATTACAATAAATCGAATATGATTATATATTATTATTATTATGATCATATTTTGTATTATGATTATATACTATGTAAATAAGTTAGCTTCATTACTTCATTGCAGTCAGAACTCATAATAGTGCCTTTTAACCTTTGTTCGTGTAATTTTCCTATAAAACTCCTTTGAGGATAATGAAATGTTATAGTGTTTGGACACGAAGGGAAACACACCTTATCAGGCTTGAGGCTTATCATGCTTGAAATCTTCGTAAAATTACATCATAAGGTTAATAAGGATATGTAATAATGAGGAATTTGCGAGTGATTTCCATAATTTTATATATATAATATATAATTTTTTAATACTTTCAACACTACTATATTATAACAAATAATTTGAGAATGACTGTAAAGGTACATATTACCGACATTTGAAGTCAAGGCGTTGTTTTACTGATAGTTGTGGCTGACTAATAATATATATATATATACTAGTGTAACCCGTGCCTACGGCTGGGACTTCACTGTCTCAGTTGAAATGCAAAAGTATAAACCCGCATATTATAATATTCGAAAACACACATTACATTTTCGTAGTTAAAAAGGTGGGAAAGTATGAACTCGCTCAGTACGAACAGACTGCAATTTAATTCTGAGTGCCCCTCATGTATCTAATAGAGTAATAGTAATACTTGATTGTCAATCTTGATTCTTGAGGTATACACTGCCAAATTACCTAATTATATAGCAAATATATTATTATGAGATGAGAGAGAGCGAGAGTGGGACAGTACACACACAAACACACGCACACACACACACGCACGCACGCACTAAAGTGATGACTAGGTTCTGTGTCCTAATCTCTCAGAAATAGGAGCGTGGAGTTCAGATGGAACCTGACGGTCCACGAGGACTGGCTTCGAACAACTCTCGGCCGGGACACAGCAATATAAATTATTGAAAACAGCAGGCTATTGTCAGCTGTAAAGTACAGATCTCATCAAACAGTCGGAACCTTTCAACTATTTAATAAACACGCTCGATTATCAATGATCTGCGAGGAAGTATTAGGGTTGTCGGGCTATATCATGTTACTGATCAACAAAATGAACAATGTTCATTGAACATAGCATCCGGTTACACGTTCTCGTAACTCCCATATCGATTATCTATTCATATTTCAACCTCTATAATTTCATGTGTGACAGGAACGTAGTAATTGTATACTTTGGCTTATACTAAAAAATGCATCGCTGGTTTTAAAAGAACGTAAACTTTAAATCGGATGCTAAATTGCTATTTCAGATTAAGAATCCGGTATAAATTCAAATTCAAATTTATCAAATTTATCAATTATACAATTGCAATTTACTCTCACATAATATATTGTATCACTACTAATACTATACCTCATTTACCCTACCTGTTTTCACTAAGACCTAGAATTAAATAAATTTTGTAATATGGTGGATAATGAGAATAATTGATCATATATGTGGCAAGTGAAGGGTGCTGAATATTAAAATTTAAAATGGAGAGTTTGTAATTTGTGAGTAACCGGGGTACGCAGTAGCCTACAGGCTAAAAAGAGCGTTCGCCGGCTAACGGATGTATCTCCTAGACCATCAGGCTCATACTTTAGGAATCAGATTTGAAAACTTATCAAGGAGTCCTGACGGGAGAAGGAACTAACGACCTAACAATTTTACTAACATTAAAAAAGGAAAATCCCTGTCACCCGAAATGCAAAAAACACACGGAAAATACAAATCACACGGAAAAACTTGAAACGCACGAACTTTGGACAAATATAATCTCACGGATGAAAAGAAAACACACGCAGACGAACAAGTTTTGGTTAAACATCTGGCAATAAACTGAAACAGTAAAACAGAAAAGTATCACAAGCTAAAATAACATTGAATTTTAACTTTGTAGCAACAATAACATTGAACTTTGAAGCAACAATAACAATGAATTTTGTTCGGAACCGCGAGACATTATCATGAAACAGAACAGAATATGGTTAATTTGAAGTTTAACTTTTTATGATTATATAATTATGTGGTTCATAATTTTTGCTCGACATAATATTTAATCAAAGTATAGTATTTACTTCCTTATTTATGGAAATAAGCATTTCACCAATTCACAGAATTGGTAATTAAAGACTCTTCTTACAGAATTTGAGTGCTACGCAGAGTTTTTTAGAAGACGATAGTTTCATAGAAAACATTGACTGGAATCAGATCGAGAAACAACTGGAGACAGCAGACTTCACCTCACCTCCTCAGACTAAGGCATCTCAGTTCCAAATTCCTGGTTTCGCCGAGAAAGATAAAAGTGAGATATCTGTTGTTTGTCTGTTGTTAATGTTATTTGACCAGAAACTTAATCAATTTTGGCTCTTCAAATATGTTTACAAATTCTTTAGATCCATTTTGATTGAATCAACATGACGTGTATTTCATCATATCATCAAGGGTCCTTATGTCGTACTGAAACAAATCTGTTCCGACCAGAGCCAAGGTAATCTAAATCACAAAAGATATCATAATTAATCCCTCAGAAATGAAGTTCAAGTCTCCAATTGCAAACAAGAATCTCTCTCAAACCGGAGCCCGATCACCAATCTCGCACCAGACCCCTTCGAGATCACCACTTTCAAAACTCTCCCGACTAAGTCAGTCCTCCTCTCCACATCAGAATAACAATAGTTCCAGGGAAAAAACTCCCGAAACAAACACCTCAGCTGATGTCCTTAAGGCGGTTAAAAACTCTAAGAGCATAGATAGAACTCCAGAAAACACAAAAACGGCACCGTCATTACAACACTCCGACAAGAAAATCAAGAGACTAGAGACCACCCCAATACGAGCTGTACCTACTAGAGTCAAACAGCTGGATAAAGAAAGCCCCACACTGTTTTCCAGCTCTCACACAACCAGCTCAGACTCATCTCTAGAACAAACCAAACCCCCGGCCACACCAAAACAACCAAAACAGTCCCCTCAGCTGGACATATCAGACTCATTCAGCAGTTCTTTCCTCTTCACGCCCATGAAAGGAGGCACACAGAGACAGCTGTACAGCACGGGCCTAATGAGTCCGTACTCTTCTAAAAGTGACGAGACGGTGAGGCTGGGTGTCCCGGAGGAGGTCTTTAAGTTGATAGATAAGATCCGGGGTATAAAATCACTGTATCCGTGGCAACAGAAGACTGTGTCTGCTTGTCTCCGCTCTGGAGGTAGGACTCTTTTTGACTCTCCTTGTTACTGTATTCTTCTGACCGTTTTTTCTTCGCTAACAACAATTTATGGTACCAATGAGATGAAATTAATATATTTTTGCTATCACCGAAATTTCACAGATGTGACAGAATTTCTTCCAGCAACTATATACTGCATGTTGTAAAGAGAAAACTTTTCGATTAAAACTTGTTGCCAAGACAACCATAAACCACGTGATACCCAGGTAACCACATTGTCACGTGATTCCCAGGTAACCACATTGTCACGTGCCCCACATCTGGCGGGAAGACTCTGGTTGGGGAACTGCTACTTCTTAACGCTCTACTAACGCGCTGCACTGATGCTCTTCTTGTTCTACCTTACGTTGCTCTTGTGGAGGAAAAAGTACTGATATTTTCACCTTTGATTCGAGTTGATTTAGAAAAGAACTGTCAGCACGGCAATTTATCGGTTTGATCAAGTAAATCAAACACAAAGCTCTTAGGGGTCGTTCACATAATATTACGTAATCAATATTTTAGCAATTTTTACTCCCTCCCCCCTCCGTAATACCTATGAATAGATAAAGTAGTTGGAACACAAAAGGAAAAGTTTATTCCATTTATGGAAGGATCTCTCGGAGACAAATACCCGAGCTCAGCTATACTAAAAAGTATTGACTTTCTAAATAAAATCTCTTAGACTTACTATCTACCCACATTTTAGGTGAGAGAACTGGCGGAGTTTGCTGAACACTTCTCCTTTGGTTTGGAAAGGTATGCTGGCAGCAGGGGCAGGTTCCCTCCTAGGAAACGCAGGAATAAACGCGCTGTTTACGTCGCAACCATCGAAAAAGTAATTTATGTTATTTCTTCGTAAAACATGTCATTTCTATACATAAATATGTATTGTATGATTGAACATGTGAAATGTCGAACTCTAAAAATACTCGGAAAGTCGCAAACTTGAACCCCCTGCCACACAGGCAAACTCCTTGTTCAACTCCCTGTACGAAGAGGGGCGATGCAGTGAACTAGGATTAGTTGTAGTGGATGAGATTCATATGATAGGTGACGGTTACAGAGGGGCTATCCTCGAGACCTGTCTGACTAAACTGCTGTCATTGAAATCAGGGTACGTTTTAGTTTTGGTGAATAATTGTATATTCTAGCCTTTTTTTGGTGAAACCCGACTAATTTCTGTAATCTGTACCCATTTGATTCAATTATTAGTATAATATAGTGAAACCAAAAAAATATCTGAAGTGGTAGTGCATGGAAAAAATATGTCTTTAAGATCGTAATTTTAACGGTCCAACCCCTTGCATGAATAATTAGGTTCGTGAAAATTAATTCTAATCGGATTGAATTAGGTTCAGTAGATGTTGAATTAAATTCTTTGACTTGAATGTTGTGTATTTTCGCGCCCAGAATGTTATCTAAACTAAAATTTAAGCGCTTTCTTCCAACTCCAATTAAAAATTGTGACAGCAATTTACAACAACTGATAGAATAAATGAAATCTTGTGCGAGCAAGCGTTTACCTGGGGACCCCAGGCTATTATGTTCATAAACATTATATAAAGATTTGGCGGAATGACAGGCTGAGCGCGGCCCAGTAAGCAAGCGTAAATAATAAATAATGTCCGTTATAGTCTATAAATAATGCATCGAAATTTTAATTCTTTAAACAGGCTTTTGTGTATTTTCGAACCCAGAATGTTAACATCAAAACTATAAATAAAGCGCTTTCTTTCTATCGAAAATCATGACAGCTAGTGTAAATAATAACGTTAAAGTACAGCCCATGGCAATAATGCTGTTATACTAAAGTCGTATTGATGCTAAATAAGGCCAAGATGAACTGTCATCCTTAGATTAAAAGCTTTCTTAAATTGTTGAACTCAAAACAGAAGATTTATCAGAATGAAGGTAGGAAACAATATTCCATGACCGGTTTTTGTTGCAAAGCAATAGCTAGAAGCAGTGTTTTCCAGTCCTTGGCACGGCGGTGGCTTGATAAAGTTGTTGAGACAGGTGAACTGGTAAGTAGTGGCGTTGTTGTGCTCCCTAGCCTCGTATCCGGGATTACATGCCACAGTGATGTTACTTCCGGGTAGGTAGAATGGTACTGATGAGTTTTTCACTACCTTTCCGTTTTTTATTTTCATCGGGTCCATATGTTTGTTGCATGGTCCTCGGTACTCTACAACTGGTTCGATTGCTAGGTTTTGTAAGGTTTCGTTGCAGTGTAAACATAAGTATATGCTCTCCAAATATATGCTGTTCAAATCATCATACATGTCAACATAGGTCAGTGTCAATGTCCATAAAGGTTTTCCCAATAAATATTTCTCCATCGTGGGATTTGGTATTATCTTGAATGGAATAATCACAAGTTGTTGTGCATCACTTCTTCTTAAGCAATTTGTGAGATTAACGGCTGTAACTGTAAAACCATCTTGTAAGACCTCCATACACTTTCCAGATATTTTATGTTCGATAGATACATGTTCAGGCGAATTGGGGTTCATCAACCTCACAATCCAAAGTGACATGTCCAAACATGCTCCCCACTTCAGATTCCAAGTCTTATCAACTCCTAGACATTTCCCCGTGTCTCCATTTGTGATCAGGACTTCCAACTTTTTCTTCCCATCTACCATTACGAACCATTCCACCATTGAATGATTTTTCCGGTCAAGTGCAAGTGCTCCTTGTACAGATCTAACACAAGTAAAATTCCCAATGGTGGACCACACGTTTTTAGTTGGAGCTGGAAGATTCTTGAGCAAGGTGCACATATTAGTATAGGATTTGTATACTAAGTAGTTGCAGTGGTCAGAAAACTGGCAGTACTGTTCACATTGTTCCAAGGAATCAGCAGGAAACTGGTTGATCGGATCATCACAGCAGACCACCTCATGTAGCTGATAGCATGATTTCATCGGGTCTTTAACATGTTCTTTCATCAGTCCTTTAATGCGGTCTTTAACATACTGTGAACGGTCATTCTCTTTAGTCATTCCGGTGATATTGGAATCGATCAAACTGTTCTTTTCCAGAGTTCCCGCTCTTGTTGGCGGTGGAAGTGATCCCAAGGCAGGTAGAAGGAGGACCAGAATTATCTGCAGGAGCAGGTATAACCATCCCATCCTTGTGTGACCATAAATGAACTTTATCTTCCGATACAACGAATTTATTGACAATTTGAATAGGTGTGATGCGTTGGGTGCACCTTCTTTTATCTCAAGTGCAATGACAAAAATGAGCGATAAATAAATGCATCTTTCAAAAACTGTGCCTCAATGGTCTCTACGTAGAAATGATTCGTAGTATTTTCTTTATTTTTAAAATGTATATTTATGAGGTTTATGCCCCCCCCCCCCCCCCCACCAACTCTTTATGCTCAATATCTAGGTTATCTGATCAACTAGAATGAAATTAGGTATTTATATCCCGCGTATATGATTAACCAATGAACACAATGAAGGTGGTTAACCATGTCAGAGCGGTTGACTGTGAGTGATGTGAGCAAAGTGTAACTCAAAAAGGCAACTTAGACAAAATTAAATTATATTTTATCATAAACCACACTAATTTAAGTAGCAGCAGAAACAATTTATTGTAGGAAAAATAAAAGGTAGTACAGTGACATACCAATCGAGACAAAAAACATATCCTAGTAAGTTGAACCAATGAAACCAAATTGACTGCGGAAAAACTAAAAGCAAAGCTGTCTCACTAAAATGAGAACAACCGGGAAAAGAAAGGCCAGCACAATCCAATGCATTACAATTTAACTGTGGACCCAATCATATAAAAGATCTAAAAACGAAAATGACGGTTCATTCGGAAAAAATGAACATCAATGTTATTTGATTTGATGTATTCCTCGAATGATTGATCTAACAGCAAGTTGTACTATAAAGAACTATTTCAATAGGGCACTCAGCAATTGAGAAATCACCAACGTATGCAAATGTGTACTGACTTTTGGCCCCCCTAAATTGGAATAATAGCCATTTTAAATGATCGGACACAAACTGTAGTGAACTGTGTTCAGGCCTTTATAATAGTAATGAGAACTGTGTTACTGTTCAGGCCCCGTATAGTTGTAGTGAACTGTTTTCAGGCCCGTATAACTGTAATGAACTGTGTTCAGGCCCCGTATAATTGTAATGAACTGTGTTCAGGCCCCGTATTACTGTAGAGAACTGTGTTCAGGCCCTGTATAACTGTAGTGAACTGTGTTCAGGCCCTGTATAACTGTAGTGAACTGTGTTCAGGCCCTGTATAACTGTAATGAACTGTGTTCAGGCCCCGTATAACTGTAGTGAACTGTGTTCAGGCCCCGTATAACTGTAGAGAACTGTGTTCAGGCCCCGTATAATTGTTGTGAACTGTGTTCAGGCCCCGTATAACTGTTGTGAACTGTGTTCAGGCCCCGTATAGTTATAATGAACTGTGTTCAGGCCCTGTATAACTGTAGTGAACTGTGTTCAGGCCCCGTATAATCGGAATGAACTGTGTTCAGGCCCTGTATAACTGTAGTGAACTGTATTCAGGCTCCGTATAACTGTATAACTGTAATGAACTGTGTTCAGGCCCCGTATAGTTATAGTGAACTGTGTTCAGGCCCTGTATAAATGTAATGAACTGTGTTCAGGCCCTGTATAACTGTAATGAACTGTGTTCAGGCCCTGTATAACTGTAATGAACTGTGTTCAGGCTCCGTATAACTGTATAACTGTAATGAACTGTGTTCAGGCCCTGTATAGTTATAGTGAACTGTGTTCAGGCCCTGTATAATTGTATTGAACTGTGTTCAGGCCCTGTATAACTGTAATGAACTGTGTTCAGGCTCCGTATAACTGTAGTGAACTGTGTTCAGGCCCCGTATAGTTATAATGAACTGTGTTCAGGCCCTGTATAACTGTAGTGAACTGTGTTCAGGCCCCGTATAACTGTAATGAACTGTGTTCAGGCCCCGTATAGTTATAATGAACTGTGTTCAGGCCCCGTATAATTGTTGTGAACTGTGTTCAGGCCCTGTATAACTGTACTGAACTGTGTTCAGGCCCCGTATAACTGTAATGAACTGTGTTCAGGCCCCGTATAACTGTAATGAACTGTGTTCAGGCCCCGTATAGTTATAATGAACTGTGTTCAGGCCCCGTATAACTGTAATGAACTGTGTTCAGGCCCTGTATAACTGTACTGAACTGTGTTCAGGCCCTGTATAACTGTACTGAACTGTGTTCAGGCCCCGTATAACTGTAATGAACTGTGTTCAGGCCCCGTATAGTTATAATGAACTGTGTTCAGGCCCCGTATAACTGTAATGAACTGTGTTCAGGCCCTGTATAACTGTAATGAACTGTGTTCAGGCCCCGTATAGTTATAATGAACTGTGTTCAGGCCCCGTATAACTGTAATGAACTGTGTTCAGGCCCTGTATAACTGTAATGAACTGTGTTCAGGCCCCGTATAGTTATAATGAACTGTGTTCAGGCCCCGTATAACTGTAATGAACTGTGTTCAGGCCCTGTATAACTGTACTGAACTGTGTTCAGGCCCCGTATAATCGGAATGAACTGTGTTCAGGCCCCGTATAGTTATAATGAACTGTGTTCAGGCCCCGTATAACTGTAATGAACTGTGTTCAGGCCTTGTATAACTGTAGTGAACTGTGTTCAGGCCCCGTATAATCGGAATGACGGCTACGTTGAGCAACCACCAGGAAATAGCGGGGTTTATGAAGTGCAGCATGGAGCATACAGGGGGTCCCCGACCAGTTACTCTCGACGAGCATGTCAAGATGGGAGATACCGTGAGTTTTTAGTTTTATTTGTTAGTTTTTTAGTTTTATTTTTTAGTTGTTGAAAAGTATTCTGTTCGTATGTATTATATTTTCATCAGAATGTTGATCTAACTTAAAAATCATGTTGATTGTTTTGTAATCACCCGTTGATAAACGTACTAAAATACTTGTTCTAACTAAACGGTACATGTGAGAGAACGTACTACGGTGCCCACTGCTTAAATTTGTGCAACACAAATATAAGACTCATCTCAGCCTATCAATTTAAGATAAAACTTGAATATTTTATACGTACAAATTTAGTATAATATAAAAGTCGACCATATTATATTTAACTAGTGTAACCCGTGCCTACGATCGGGACTTCACTATCGCAGTTGAAATGCAAAAGTATAAACCCGCCTATTATAATATTCGAAAACACACATTACATTTTCGTAGTTGAAACGGTGGGAAAGTATGAACTCGCTCAGTCCAAACACACTGCAATTTAATTCTGAACGCCCCTCACGTATCTATTATCTAATTGTAATACTTGATAGGCAATCTTGAGGTCCCCTTCCCCTCATCCCCTGACACTTTAGTATTACATTTGGGTCACAAAATGATCAATTAAACCACTTACCACCGACCGATTTAAAAACCCTTTACCATTTGACTCCCTCATAGTTTTGTCGGCACTACCGAAAAAAACCAGCCCCGTAACTCTTACCGTTTTCTTGATTAAGCCGCTCAGAATTTACACGCGGACAGACAGACAGACAGAAAACACACATTCTGAGATTATTGTTTAAGATACTGAATGGTTCTGAAATTTCCAACCGCTGGTTGCATGATATCAGAAAATAGTTTTTAAGATTACCGAAACGTTTTGAAATTTCTGATCTGCGATCCTATGACAAGGACCCGGAAATAGCCCTTGGATCACAAGCAGAAACTATTTGTCGAACTAGAGTACGCTACCTGGACTCTGGTTTGACAAGCACCGAAGTTCGACTGGGGTGATTTCTGGCGAACTTTATTTGTCGAACTTCCGTGCGTGTCGACTGTCGAACCACAGCTGTACGTGAATCAAGATATCTCAGAGAATGACATCAGCTGTGTTGCTTCTATCCGCATTAAAAAGAACTTATTTTTTATCAAGATACAATTTCAACAAATCCTGATCCTTGGGCTGTTTGAGGATAGTTTGTAGTGCGGTATGTACTGACCAATGTTTCTTCATTTTATTTCTTCACAATAAGTCTCCCCAGATCTTCAAGGTGGATAAGAAGAAAGGAGAGTTAGTAGCAGTGAGACAGTCCACACCCTTATCATCACCTGTTAACACCAATACACTAGACAAGGACTGTGTCGCTTCACTTGTACAGGTGATAGTATAGTCATACTTAACTTTATCTTATATTTAACGAATAAGTAGAGATTTTCCATTTGCTTTTTAATGCTTTCTCCGGAAATCTAACTTCCAGTGCCTAAATTGTGTTCTACGTCTATGTAATCCATAGTTAACTGACTAATTGGTCATTGAAGAAAAGTTAGTACAAAAATGTGAAATTGAGTTAATACAGAAAAAGTTTTGGAATATGGACACATTGGCGGTCTTCCACTCTCCGGGAATTTTACTTTCTCCGGGAATCTAACATTGACACATTCACAGATGATAGCATCCTATTTAAACAATGTGATCTGTTTGGTAATCTGCTAACCTAATCTTATTTTATCTCAGGAAGTTCTACCAGAACGAGTTTTGGTGTTCTGTCCAACAAAGAACTCCTGCGAAACAACAGCCCGAATGTTAACCAACACCCTGCCTTGGTAAGTGAGACACAAATAGGTACAAACCTTGCCTTGGTTTGTACCTGTTTGTGTCTCTCACTAGTACAATCCTGTCCATTCTTTAAAAATGTTGGTCTGAAAGATGTTTTCCTTACCAAAAGCATGATGAATCTTGATATGAATGAAATATACAAAGTAGAAATTATCTCGTAATCCGAGCCACTATATTCCTTCTGTAACCGTATATTATTATCAAGATTTATTTCAACAGCGCAGGAAATGAGATGAAGCACAAGAGAACTATTCTAATAGATCGCATCAAACTGGAAACTGGTCATATGGATAATGCTTTCTCTGACATGCTCTCTTCTGGTAAGGGCACAGTTATTAGAATATAATCTGGAAGTTGAGGCGCTTCAAACGATAATATTACTATTTTGATCAGTGGGATGAAATCAAAATTGGCTGACTAAGTAATTCTGATAAGCGATTGTAGTGATTGCGTTTTATGATTTCGTGAGTTGATTGATTGATTGATTGATTGATTGATTGATTGATTGAGGAGCACTACCCGAAGGCATTACTCGGCACTAACGCCTTAAAATCTTTAATTACAATCAAATATAAATATATGCACACAATGTATAAAGTATTGATAATGTATAAAATATGATTATGCTATTAGCAAATTTAAATAGTACTATTAAGAATTTTAAATACTCTTATCTCTTGACATAAATTTAGAACAGCGACACATGGTCTGAAGAATGCGCGGTGATATTTTTATCTTTTAAAAGTTGTAAATGACAGTGAAATTGCGCGGTGTCGATAGCATTGTAAAAAATGCTCGAAGATAGTCATATTTTGTTATGAGGTTAAAGTTTTGTTGCTCGTTATTATGATCAACGTATGTTGTACCAAATTATTTAAATTTCTAAAAGTACGAAATTTGAGTTGTCCCAGTCCTTGTCATCCGGTTTATGTGCTTGTGCAGTAAGCACATGCTTGTTGACTGTAGACTTGAATGAATTTAGGAATTTGTCTTGTAGGCAAGTGGTGACATATTTTATGTCCTTGTTAATAATGTTGACTGTTTGGTTATATAACTTAGGCCCAATGTAAGAAATGCTCTTGTCTGAATTACATAAACGGTTAAATGGTACTGCAAAGAATTCAGGTTCTCTTCTAGGTGCGTTTAAGTTTGAAACAGTGAACATTCTTATAATATTTGGTGGTGCAGTGTTAGAATAAACTTTGTGCATTAAGCATAATATACATTTAGCTATCACGTTCGGTAAAGCTAATACTTCTAGTTTATTGAAAATTTCCTTTGTGTGTGAAGGTGTGCTATTCAGATCTTTGTCATAAAAATAGCGGTGGTATTGGTTATCTGCAGCGCGAATGCCCTTTTTCTGGGCCGAGAAGACTCTTTTAACGGAGTTTAGCGATCTTGTTCCCCAAACTGTGCAGCAGTAGTACAAGTGAGACTGACAAAGCTGTTGTATATCAACTTGAGTGCTTTGTTAGGTACTGAGCCTCAAGAGTTCTTGAGCATGCTAACGTCAACAACAAGTAGATGCAATTACTTGAAACGGATAAATTTTAGAGTTCTAAGAGAGTTCTCTTAATCAGCAATGCCTTCTACCCCAGGTGTGTCCTACCACCACAGCGGTTTGACAGCAGATGAGAGAGTTCTGGTGGAAGAAGCGTTCAGCACAGGAGTTCTCTCTGTTCTGTGCTGTACCTCAACATTAGCTGCAGGGGTGAACCTTCCCGCTTCTAGGTACCCCACTCATCTGTACCGTACTTTTCGTAATTATTTTTGCAGCAAGAGAGATTTTGGAATTAGTTCGAAATATTTAAATGTTTGCATTCTATATTTAGCTCGATTGGTATTTTACATCTCGATGTTGTAACTACATAACACAGCACAACCTCAGAGTGATTATACGGAGTGTGAAGATAGGGTCGAGTATTTTGACCAGAACTCGGTATCTCCAGATGGTTGGCAGGGCTGGTAGAACAGGTTTGTATGTTGTCCGAAAAAACTGCACGTGCAAATTTTTTGTGAACAAACTGATATGAATCCTATCTGCACAAAATTGTATGGTATCTGCACACTTAAATATTCTCAAGTAGTAGTCCGAGCTTCCTCCTGCTAATAATATTACTTAATACTTTTTGGGACAGAATTGAACAGTGAACCAACTTCTCAGTATACTGGATGTGATATAGGTGTATTAACATATGTATAACCATCTGCCAGGATTGTCAGCCACAGGGGCCAGTTTCCTGTTGGGCAGTGTATTAGAGAAGAAGATCCTTAACGAGCTGGTGTTTGGGAAGATTGAAGATGTCAGGAGTTGTTTAGATGAAGAATCTCTCGCTCTTACCCTCCTACATCTCATCGGATCAGGTTTTTAATTCGTCAACTATATTTCCTTTCAAGCTAATTTTATCTCTATTTCAAGCTGTTCTCTGTACGAAGGAGTTTGTTCTTTAATAAGGAAGAAGAGCAGCGATCAATAACGGACCGATTACTGAGATTCGATTTCTGTCAAAAAGTTCAGTAGCGGTACAGACTCAATACCGTTGATCATAGTCATTAGTAAGGGCTTTAAAACCTTATAAAACCACGGAGTTTTGGGAAAAGAAACACCCGCGGTAAATCGGGATTTTCTAACTTATTTAATACAGTATGTTTGTGAACAGGTTTGATACAGAGCTCAGCAGATCTGGGAATGTTCATGAAGAAGACTCTGCTACACCACCAGGCCCCCGACACCTGTCTCACTGTAGCGGACTCCGCTCTTACATTCCTGCAGGAGTCCAAGTTCGTGGAGCGGGTAGAAGGTTAGAATTCTAAGATTTAGCATTCTGTGATCAGAAACTGTGCTGTGTGCATTTTTAAATAATCGAATAATGTGAATTCCTAAATTTCTTATTACAGAATGGTGCAACTTTTATTATCATTTATAACAGACAAGGTTAACACAAACCGTCCCAGGAAAGATCCAGCCTACTCAATTTGGTAAAGCAGTGTACAAAAGCTCGTTAAATCCTACCATTTCACACAAAGTAATGCAAGGAATCAGAGAAGCAAACAGACACCTCGTTCTACTGGGAGATCTACATTTGGTGTACTTGTGTGTTCCTCCTATCGTTGAGTGAGTTGGTACACTGTGTAGAGAGGTTTAGAGAGGTGGAAATAGGAGAGGGGAGGGGAGGGGGGACTCACTATACTCTACAGCAGCGAACTGAAATAAACGAACTTTGATTGATTGATTGATTGCTTTAACCTCCCTTAAGCTCCATCAGGGGTGTGTACGTTGACTGGCAGATGTATTTTAGCTCTTTAACCTCCCTTAACCTCCACCAGGGGTGTGTACGTTGACTGGCAGATGTATTTCAGTGCTTTAACCTCCCTTAACCTCCATCAGGGGCGTGTACGTTGACTGGCAGATGTATTTCAGCTCTTTAACCTCCCTTAACCTCCATCAGGGGCGTGTACGTGGACTGGCAGATGTATTTCAGTGCTTTAACCTCCCTTAACCTCCATCAGGGGTGTGTACGTTGACTGGCAGATGTATTTCAGCTCTTTAACCTCCCTTAACCTCCATCAGGGGCGTGTACGTGGACTGGCAGATGTATTTCAGTGCTTTAACCTCCCTTAACCTCCATCAGGGGCGTGTACGTGGACTGGCAGATGTATTTCAGTGCTTTAACCTCCCTTAACCTCCATCAGGGGTGTGTACGTGGACTGGCAGATGTATTTCAGCTCTTTAACCTCCCTTAACCTCCATCAGGGGCGTGTACGTGGACTGGCAGATGTATTTCAGTGCTTTAACCTCCCTTAACCTCCATCAGGGGCGTGTGCGTGGACTGGCAGATGTATTTCAGCTCTTTAACCTCCCTTAACCTCCATCAGGGGTGTGTACGTTGACTGGCAGATGTATTTCAGTGCTTTAACCTCCCTTAACCTCCATCAGGGGTGTGTACGTTGACTGGCAGATGTATTTCAGCTCTTTTACCTCCCTTAACCTCCATCAGGGGTGTGTACGTTGACTGGCAGATGTATTTCAGTGCTTTAACCTCCCTTAACCTCCATCAGGGGTGTGTACGTTGACTGGCAGATGTATTTCAGCTCTTTAACCTCCCTTAACCTCCACCAGGGGCGTGTGCGTGGACTGGCAGATGTATTTCAGCTCTTTAACCTCCCTTAACCTCCACCAGGGGCGTGTGCGTGGACTGGCAGATGTATTTCAGTGCTTTAACCTCCCTTAACCTCCATCAGGGGCGTGTACGTTGACTGGCAGATGTATTTCAGCTCTTTAACCTCCCTTAACCTCCACCAGGGGCGTGTGCGTGGACTGGCAGATGTATTTCAGTGCTTTAACCTCCCTTAACCTCCATCAGGGGCGTGTACGTGGACTGGCAGATGTATTTCAGTGCTTTAACCTCCCTTAACCTCCATCAGGGGCGTGTACGTTGACTGGCAGATGTATTTCAGCTCTTTAATCTCCCTTAACCTCCACCAGGGGCGTGTGCGTGGACTGGCAGATGTATTTCAGCTCTTTAACCTCCCTTAACCTCCATCAGGGGTGTGTACGTTGACTGGCAGATGTATTTCAGCTCTTTAACCTCCCTTAACCTCCACCAGGGGCGTGTGCGTGGACTGGCAGATGTATTTCAGCTCTTTAACCTCCCTTAACCTCCATCAGGGGTGTGTACGTGGACTGGCAGATGTATTTCAGTGCTTTAACCTCCCTTAACCTCCATCAGGGGCGTGTACGTGGACTGGCAGATGTATTTCAGTGCTTTAACCTCCCTTAACCTCCATCAGGGGTGTGTGCGTGGACTGGCAGATGTATTTCAGTGCTTTAACCTCCCTTAACCTCCACCAGGGGCGTGTACGTGGACTGGCAGATGTATTTCAGCTCTTTAACCTCCCTTAACCTCCACCAGGGGCGTGTACGTGGACTGGCAGATGTATTTCAGCTCTTTAACCTCCCTTAACCTCCACCAGGGGCGTGTACGTGGACTGGCAGATGTATTTCAGTGCTTTCTCCCAGTTTGACGAGGTTACCCGACTAACCTTCACTGCTGCTGGCCTCCTGGAATCTTACCTCGCCTGGAGAGCTTTCACTCAGAACTCCTCTGATATCGTCAGTATATATACTGTATATGTATACAGTATATTATATATACTGTATATATATTATATAGTGTATAATATGTACAGTTTGTTATACTTTATATTCCTTTTTTTTCTGTCCTTTTTATTTGGTGTATATATTTATCCCAAGGGAATATTTGAAAATTTGCTAAAACGGTTCTTTTGCGATAGTCAAAACGCGACAACTAGCTAAAACATATAAATTAGTCTCAGCAATTTTTGAGATTCTCAAGTTATATTGCTTCAAATTTTCTAATGGGCCTACTACAGGAAAAAGAAGTGCCCTACAAGAGATTCTACGTAGCAGGAGCACTCCACAAGCTGATCTCAGGGGTACCATCCTGGAAAGTTAGTGCTCTCTTCAAGATCCCTCGGGGGACTCTACAGTCTGCTCTTAGTTCTGTTATATCTCACGCCAGCAAACTGGCTCATTTTACCAAGGTACACACTACACACTACTGACTATACTACTATGCACATTGCGCATCGCAAGATTAACATTTTGAAATGTTCACTTTTATTTGTATCACGACTCCGAGTCGATTTATGTTTTTTTGCGCTGAGCTGCTAAGCAACACCTGGCTTAAGTTCAGTGTGGTGAGAATTAATGTTGATGTGAGCAGATCCTATGCTACAGTGCTCTGCTTCAGCTTGGTTCAAGATTACTGAATTGTGTTAATTCGGGCCACCCTGTATTTTCCCTATCACACCAGCTTTAATTTTGAGGCGACTCTGCTGATTAAATCTAGGCGGTAGAGTGTACTTGTACCTATAATTTATGCAATTCTCCCGTTTACTATGAATTGAGAGTGTACTATCACCCAGGAGTTGCCGGATTATTGGGCACTCTCTTCTGTTTTTGATGCTTTGGTACAGAAACTCTTCTTTGCTGGCTCTCCCGAACTTGCTCAAATTCTTGAGATTCCTGGTATCAAACACGTGAGTTTTGTTTACTCTAGATATTTTTTTAAAACAACCATCCACAACCATCTACAACCATATCCCTGGTCGACATCTGTTTAAATGTTCAGGTCTCAGGTGCAAACACGTAAGTATACTCTAGATAAAAATATAATTCCCAACCATTTAAAACCATAATGCCCGAAATTTTCTCTTTTAAAAAACAATTATGAACGGCGCAGTGGTCGTTGGTCGACATCTGTTCAGAAAAAGAAATGAATTAAAAGAAAGTCGACTAATCATTGACCATCCTGGAGGTAAAGCACGTGAGGGCATTGAACAATGCAATAGTTAGCTGTTAGGTAGAGACTAGAATTTTTCTATTTGCTCATTTAAATTCTAAGTTTAGTTCTTCGTCTTTTTACAGTTTGAGTTAGGCTCATAGTATTGGTAGGTTGCCATTTGCGGCACGCACGAGCGATAATCGATAACCGTGATTTTTATATCGATTTTGATAAGTAACTTTGTAGTTAGTAAACTTATGATATGCAAGTTTCTGCCGATCTTTTTTCACCCGTATTTCGACAGCCCTCATATTGACGGGACGGGAAGCTTACCAGTAACTTGATCTTTGAAACCGTGATATCGATAAATTGCGTTGCTGTAATTTTTCGTATTCACCTAACTGTTTATTGGCTTGAATTTAATTTAAAGCTCTTTAATTTGTATTAATTTACAGAAAATTGCGTCATGGCTGATCACAGCACAGCTTTTCCTAACGTTCATAGTGCATCTGTCTATCCGCATGTTACGATGACTGATTATGATGAATATGATCGCTATTGGAGAGCATTCCTGTCAACCCTGGAGCCGTTCTTCACCACCAGCATACCAAGTATTCTACTCAGTATCATAACCATCACCCTGAACATCTTCGTTATCAACTACTATCGGAAGGGCGAACTCTCTCTAGTCCCCTTTCTCTACACAATGATAGCATCAGCGGATATCCTGACTGCTGTTGGGGTTATACATCAGTCTGTAGCTTTTTATTGGTCACTAAAGGAGTGATCGGTAAAAACTCTATAGATATACACACAGTTGTCTTCTATACAGTCATTCAGATAAGTTACAGATCGTCTGTATTCTACAACTTAGTGCTGGCTGTTTCCAGGACTGTCATGATCTTAAGACCCTTCCTCCAGATAAAGATAGGTGCTGTGAAACTGGCATGTATATTGTACATTGTGCCGTGGGTAATCCTAGCTGCGCTTGATATACATCAGTTTTATCTTGTTCAGAACCAATTCGCTATTAATATGTATGTTCGGTGGATTTTGCATATGGGCGCTAGTATTGCAGAGAACAATATCTTTTTGATCTTTATGCCTCAGGTGATAGCCTTTCTTATACCAGTCCTCATCATCTTTATCACGTGTGTAGTCCAACTGGTATCACTGCACAGATCAAGTCAGTTTGAAGCCAGCTCCAATCAACGTCACGTGACCATTACCGTAATCCTCATTTCAACCCTATTTGTCGTATGTAATTCTGCCTACTATGGATTTGTATTCTCTACGAGTCTCACTAATACATATGTCCCACATGAGTCTTTCTCCTATCTTATAGCAGTGCTGGGAACTGTACTGCCAATACTGAACTCAGCACTCAACCCTGTCATTATCATTACGAGAAGTAATGGATTGAGAGTAAAGTTCTTGGAGACAATGCGGCGAATAAAAGGCTGGATGAGCTGGCAAAGGTAGATGGACGATGTTTCATACGAAGCTGGAAGACGTTAGTGAATGGAGCGTTGCTGGGATTGGGAATTTAGTAGCGGTGATAGACGATTGTTCAGCTGAAGATTGTCCTACGAGAGGCATTTGTTAAAATAACTTCTCGGTTAAGATGTTGACTGTATAGAGTTTATAGTTACTACGCTGATAGACTATTTCTGTTTAAGAGGACCTATTTCTTTTAAAGCCCAATAATCTTATCGGTAGCTTAATTTAATTATAGTTATAGCCTTTTTATCGCCATACTATTGACAATGGAAATAGATACCTGGGATGGCAGACCTTCGTTTGGGATCCAAAGGACTCCATTAAATTTGTACTCCCTGTTTGATGAGTCATGAGTGTTTGTGCTCTTTAAATCTAAAATTCTGCACCAATTAGTGGTATGGAACGTCAAGTTAGAATCAGCTGAGAATATGTTGCAATTCTTGATGTAGTTACCTCTTCTTTTGATTACTTAATCTTTAGTTCGCCTGTTTTTAATATTTTGCATATTATTTTGAAACTTTCATGGCCCAGGAATGAAAATCAGATAAATTACAAATTGAATTTTTAATAAGCGAGATAAACCCTGGATGATTGATACTAACCAACTTGAGTTTAAAATCTAAGTATTATTTGCAGGCTCGGGCAAAGCAGCTCCACAAAGCAGGATATAAATCACTCCAAAAACTGGCAGCTGCGGAACCTATACTCCTGTCCTCCGACATCGAACATCTCACACAAAAACAGGTACAAAATGAGGTGACAACTTTATTAAACTTTTGGCAAAAATAATTTTAGATTGAGTAAGGAAGCAGTTCTAACGAGCTCTTCTCAAACACAAGGATATAACTTGTGAACTCGGCTACTATATATGAAACATTTGTCATGGAGTTGTAGAGGGAGTTATGTGCCTCGCCGGGCTAAAGTAGTGGATGATCTTGCTGTACGGCAAGTTAAACAAGGATCTGAAACTACTAGGTTCCGTACAGACTCAACTCTGCACCCGTGTCAATATGTTCATTATATGCAAGCCTCTTGATTTATAATCACCGAGTCTAGTAATTGTTTAAGAGAGTTCTCTGGCAGTTACGAAACTCGAGAGACTGTGGGATACTGAAGGGAAAGGAAGCAGTTCTAACGAGCTCTTCTCAAACACAAGGATATAACTTGTGAACTCGGCTACTATATATGAAACATTTGTCATGGAGTTGTAGAGGGAGTTATGTGCCTCGCCGGGCTAAAGTAGTGGATGACCTTGCTGTACGGCAAGTTAAACAAGGATCTGAAACTACTAGGTTCCGTACAGACTCAACTCTGCACCCGTGTCAATATGTTCATTATATGCAAGCCTCTTGATTTATAATCACCGAGTCTAGTAATTGTTTAAGAGAGTTCTCTGGCAGTTACGAAACTCGAGAGACTGTGGGATACTGAAGGGAAAGGAAGCAGTTCTAACGAGCTCTTCTCAAACACAAGGATATAACTTGTGAACTCGGCTACTATATATGAAACATTTGTCATGGAGTTGTAGAGGGAGTTATGTGCCTCGCCGGGCTAAAGTAGTGGATGACCTTGCTGTACGGCAAGTTAAACAAGGATCTGAAACTACTAGGTTCCGTACAGACTCAACTCTGCACCCGTGTCAATATGTTCATTATATGCAAGCCTCTTGATTTATAAATACATTTATAAACGTTATAGATTATTTCGTCCGATCATCTTCTCGACCAACCTTTTAATGGACCGGTGAAGATACAAGATCAGATATACGTTAACACATGACACTCCAGGCACAAAAGATCATATCATCAGCAAAAATAATGCTTCAAGAGCAAGCTGATGCGTTGACTGACGCAGCGCTTCAACTTCTGGAGGAAGTTTAGCGAACTGACGAGATGTGTTGACTGACGCAGCGCTTCAACTTCTGGATGAAGTATAGCGAACTGACGAGATGTGTTGACTGACGCAGCGCTTCAACTTCTGGAGGAAGTATAGCGAACTGACGAGATGTGTTGACTGACGCAGCGCTTCAACTTCTGGAGGAAGTATAGCGAACTGACGAGATGTGTTGACTGACGCAGCGCTTCAACTTCTGGAGGAAGTATAGCGAACTGACGAGATGTGTTGACTGACGCAGCGCTTCAACTTCTTGATGAAGTATAGCGAACTGACGAGATGTGTTGACTGACGCAGCGCTTCAACTTCTGGAGGAAGTATAGCGAACTGACGAGTCTTACTCCTAGAATCGTTGTTTTTTAATGGATTTAATTCTGGAGAGCAGATTATTGAATTGGCAAATAAGTTTGCGAGACTGTTCTTTAATTTTAAATCGGTCCCTGTGCAGTGGGCACACTCTAATTTATTCTCTGCGATATTTTTCCTTGATGCATACCATTTTTAATCTTTAATTTATTATCACGGGTGGTTTCTGCTCTAATCTTTCCTTTTGATTTTGAAAGTACAGTTACTCATAGTCATACTGGTCAGGTTATTATTAATTCTCTTGACTAATGACATCAACCAGAATTTTATGCGAGTTTTAGAAATTAACTAAGCATAATTGGGGGGGGGGGGTGAACTAATAGTAATGGAACATTTAAAACCATGAAACAGTTTCTCATAAATAAATTAAATAACAACATCATAATCTAAATAATGAATAAAAATAAACTAGATATTACAACAATATTTGTACGTGTTGGTGGCAGAAGTCCAATTTCACTATTCTAGATAAATTAAAATGCGATTAAGTTTTATAAAATAAAAGAAGGCGCCTATTTAATTTAATAGTTTTTATGTCTCCGCCCTCTTTTGGCACCGCATTTCATCAGTCTTAATTCTCTAAACGGAAACCAACATTGATAAATCAATTTTATTTATGCATAGAGTATCCTCTCACGAACTTGCATACTAGCCTCTTCGGACTACTCTGTTCTTTTAATGGCTCATAACAGGAGGAGAATCTTTGTTTCATTCAGTAGGTTGAGGAGTTTGAGCGTCCGCTTCGAGTATAGGAGAGTTATGACCTGGAGGTGGGTAAGATGGTGGAGGAGGGTAGGATGCCTGTGGTGGCGGGTAGGATGCTTGAGGAGGGTAGGATGCTTGGGGAGGGTAGGATGCTTGTGGTGGCGGGTAGGATGCTTGAGGAGGGTAGGATGCTTGGGGAGGGTAGGATGCTTGTGGTGGCGGGTAGGATGCTTGAGGAGGGTAGGATACTGGTGGAGGGTAGGATGCTTGTGGCGGGTAGGATCCTGGTGGCGGGTAGGATGCTTGAGGAGGGTAGGATCCTGGTAGAGGGTTGGATGGTGTAGGAGGGTATGATGCTGGTGGAGGGTAGGATGCTTGAGGAGGGTAGGATGCTTGAGGAGGGTTGGATGCTTGTGGCGGGTAGGATGATTGAGGGTAAGTAACTTGAGGAGGGTAGGATGTTTGCATCGGATGAGAGGTAGTTTTAGCAGCAACAACAGCTTGAGGACTTTGAGCTGTTGAATTTTGAAGAGCAGAAGGATTCTTCCTCAGGATCATGATTACGATAACCAGAGCAGCTACCCCATTAATGATGGACGCGAAAACTTGGTAGACAGTATAATAATACCAATCACTTGAACAGATATATGACCAGAAACCTACCATTACTGAACTAAAGCTTATGATAAATGAGCAGACAAATGTAAACAATGATCGATGTAACCTGAATTGGCTGGCAGTTGTTTTGAAAGTTAAGGTGGCGAGGATGCCTGACACGATCAGAAGCTCCAGCCATAATCCGATTCCCTTTCCTCCGCAAAAGCTGTCAAATCCAATAGCGAACATACACTTTCCAATAAAACACTGAATACAAACCCCAAAAAGAATGATTTCTGGGTTCGGCAGTTTGGTATTTTCTTCAGATGCTTGTGGATTTGTTTCTTTCAGGAAGTGCACTGCAATTAGTAGCGAAGCTAGTGCCATTATCGGGATCGTGCAATACATGTAGATTTTGGGCTCTCCTCCGGAACACTCAACTGCATACATCCCAAGAGAATCGCCGCCTAGGTTGAGAATGAAAGATCCTGCAAATGAAACTATAACTAGTCCTTGAACCAACTTGTTGCCTTCACTTTCATTTTTAATGTATGTTAAGAAAGCCACTACTACAGACAGCCCGATAAGCAGAAACCAAAAGATACCCGCATTCACTTCCCAGTAATCCCCCAACGTTGCACCGGTTATTATCCTTGCCAGAGCCGCTTGTGCGAGAAATCCCGCCAACATCATGTCCGGATTGGGAAATTTATCCATTTCTGAACCTGAAAAAAATTAGTTTAGGTCACAGTAGTAGATTCGACACTGCTGGTAATCTGTTATAGTCAATAGTACTCAAATTCTTTTGGTGTCAATACCCTTGCACTAGAGAATGAATATAATAGAGAAACGTGCACGCAAATAAATATAGTTTTACGTTGCTGAAGTCTCGAATCATTGTCATAGGATTGTCAGAAAATAATTCAGGATGTGAAATATTTACAAAAAATGGAACCTAAAAGATCTATCAACCGCTTTAATTAGCTTATTCAATTTCAAAATACAAAAATCTAGGAGTGAGCAGGTTTTACATTGTTGCAACAAATCACAGTGCTGGCAAGCACGACCGTTGCATTTATTGTGGGTATACTATGTTCCCCATTTACTATTATACCCCCTTTACTATTATACCCCCTTTACTATTATACCCCTTTTACTATTATACCACCTTTGGTACACGTTACAAGCCTCTTTTGTGCACGCGAAGCGTGCACTCCGGCCGGAGGCGGCGGCCGAAGGCCGCCGCCTCCGGCAGGAGTTTTCCAGGCATTAAGACTCATCGGAAGTCGTTCAGCAGATTTATTTTTAGTTCAAAACATTCTAATTTGATGTCAAAGATGACAGGAATAAAAAATAGTTATGTTCAGATTTTTAAGAAATTTGCATAAAATACTCGCCAGCACTGTTATACGAAATTCGGTAAAAAACCCAAAATCGCCATATTCAGGTGCCCTAAAAACCATGTTAAAATTGAGTTAGAGATCTGAAATTTTTCAGGGCGTCTAGACGTTGACCAAATTGACTGCAAAAAAAGTTTCAGGTTTCAGGAGCATCGGGAAATGGGTTTTCTAGAACCCCTGTTTTACGACAGATTGTCGGGACATATACATCACAGTGCTGGCAAGCACGACCGGTGCATTTATTGTGGGTATACTATGTACCCCCTTTACTATTATACCCCCTTTACTATTATACCCCCTTTACTATTATACCCCCTTTGGTACACGTTACAAGCCTCTTTCGTGCACGCGAAGCGTGCACTCCGGCCGGAGGCGGCGGCCGAAGGCCGCCGCCTCCGGCAGGAGTTTTTCAGGCATTAAGACTCATCGGAAGTCGTTCAGCAGATTTATTTTTAGTTCAAAACATTCTAATTTGATGTCAAAGATGACAGGAATAAAAAATAGTTATGTTCAGATTTTTAAGAAATTTGCATAAAATACTCGCCCCAAGCACTGTTATACGAAATTCGGTAAAAAACCCAAAATCGCCATATTCAGGTGCCTTAAAAACCATGTTAAAATCGAGTTAGAGATCTGAAATTTTTCAGGGCGTCTAGACGTTGACCAAATCGACTGCAAAAAAAGTTTCAGGTTTCAGGAACATCGGGAAGTGGGTTTTCTAGAACCCCTGTTTTACGACAGATTGTCGGGACATATACATACATACATATATATTCAGGGATAGACGCTTTGCCAGTCAATTGTAGCCTGTATTTAATTGTCCGTAGATTCAAAAGTATAAAAGATACAGCCAATTCCGACCACAGGTCTTGAAAATAATTGTTTACACTTTAGTTTACATTGTATAAACAAATTATTTGACGTCATGAACACCCCTTGATGACGTCATCAAGTTAACCGTTTTTAAAACTTGATTTTTGACAAAGTAATAACTTTTAAAAATGATTTTACACCATTAAAAAGTAATTTTATTCAAAATCTGAGGAAATTTTCATCTTAGATAATTGTTCAAGCATTCTGAAAATCTACCGGAAAGTTTTTCTAGCTTGCTCCTTCATAAAGATATTCGTCATTGAAGTTTGTGTTTTTTTGAAGAATTATTTTATAAAAACGTCAATTTTGCGATTTAGTATTCTCTGGTGTTGGGCCATGCCTTGGGTTGTGGAGCTCAGTTCTGCTTCCTATAGATATAAATTGTGCATTAGGCTAGTTTTAAAGTTAAAAATCGAAAAGTTGCACACGTGGGGACACGCCCAAATTGATAAAAAATTGCTAAAATCACTGAAAATTGCTGTTTTCGTCATTTTCTGTCAACTTTAGAGTGCCGTTGTGATAACAGTTCTTCTTGAAATACTTTGAAACTTTGCATGCTTATCAAACTATATATACAACAATTACATGCAAAATTTTACGGTGATTCAATATTGGATGCGCACGCAACGTCCGCTCAAAGTTTGCACGTGCGAAAGGTGAGAATTTTGCTCATTTGTGATTTCCAACAAATTCTGCTTTGCCACGACAGTTTAATGTCATTATAAATGAATTTAATGCCAACTTGAATGAGTATTAAGTGGCATATTCAGTCAGTGATCGACCGCTATGCTTACCTAAACACAAGGAAATGTTTTTAAAGGAAAAATTTCGAAATTGTTGAAACTTCCTCCTTATTAATGAAGATATCAGTTTATATTTCGACTTTATAAAGTACCCTGACATTATAATCAAAAAGAGATGATATTTGACCAAAACCCATAATCATGGGTAGAGTGGACCGCTGCCAGTGTCTCTCTTTCCCAAACAAAAGGAAATGATATTAATTTGATTGACCGTTCTCAAATGCAAAATGATACCGAGAATGAAATCGGTCGCTCGCTTTTCCCATTCATTTACAATTGTAATAGATTAAGAAGAACTACCCAAAGGCAGCTGTACTCAGCAATAAAGATTCAATAAACTTCAGCTAATTCAATATGTAATAACTACCACCCTTACCCCGAAATACTAGGTATCGACCCGAACGCAACCCAAAGAGATTTTTACAGCATCTGATTGATGTACCTAATCAATCGAAACTTATCACAATTCGTAAGCCGTGAATGAATGGGAAAAGCGAGCGACCGATTTCATTCTCGGTATCATTTTGCATTTGAGAACGGTCAATCAAATTAATATCATTTCCTTTTGTTTGGGAAAGAGAGACACTGGCAGCGGTCCACTCTACCCATGATTATGGGTTTTGGTCAAATACAGATATACAGATATACATATATATTCAGGGATAGACGCTTTGCCAGTCAATTGTAGCCTGTATTTAAGTGTCCATAGATTCAAAAGTATAAAAGATACAGCCATTTCCGACCACAGGTCTTGCAAATAATTGTTTACACTTTAGTTTACATTGTATAAACAAATTATTTGACGTCACGAACACCCCTTGATGACGTCATCAAGTTAACCGTTTTTAAAACTTGATTTTTGACAAAGTAATAACTTTTAAAATTAATTTTAACCCATTAAGGAGTAATTTTATTCAAAATCTGAGGAAATTTTTACCTTAGATAATTGTTCAAGCATTCTGAAAATCTACCGGAAAGTTTTTCTAGCTTGCTCCTTCATAAAGATATTTGTCATTGAAGTTTGTGCTTTTTTGAAGAATTATTTTATAAAAACGTCAATTTTGCGATTTAGTATTCTTTGGTGTTGGGCCATGCCTTGGGTTGTGGAGCTCAATTCTGCTTCCTATAGGTATAAATTGTGCATTAGGCTAGTTTTAAAGTTGAAAATCGAAAAGTTGCACACGTGGGGACACGCCCAAATTGATAGAAAATTGCTAAAATCACTGAAAATTGCTGTTTTCGTCATTTTCTGTTAACTTTAGAGTGCCGTTGTGATTACAGTTCTTCTTGAAATACTTTGAAACTTTGCATGCTTATCAAGCTATATATAAAACAATTACATGCAAAAATTTACGGCGATTCAATATTGGATGCGCATGCAACGTCCGCTCAAAGTTTGCACGTGCGCAAGGTGAGAATTTTGCTCATTCGTGATTTCCAACAAATTCTGCTTTGCCACGACAGTTTAATGTCATTATATATGAATTTAATGTCAACTTGAATGAGTATTAAGTGGTACATTCAGTCAGTGATGGACCTATTTGCTTACCTAAACACAAGGAAATGTTTTTAAAGGAAAAATTTCGAAATCGTTGAAACTTCCTCCTTATTATAATGAAGATATCATCGTATCTCTTATATGTTTTTAACCCAACTCCACTCAATGAAGATATCAGTTTATATTTCGACTTTATAAAGTACCCTGACATTATAATCAAAAAGAGATGATATTTTACCAAAACCCATAATCATGGGTAGAGTGGACCGCTGCCAGTGTCTCTCTTTCCCAAACAAAAGGAAATGATATTAATTTGATTGACCGTTCTCAAATGCAAAATGATACCGAGAATGAAATCGGTCGCTCGCTTTTCCCATTCATTTACAATTGTAATAGATTAAGAAGAACTACCCAAAGGCAGCTGTACTCGGCAATAAAGATTCAATAAACTTCAGCTAATGCAATAAGTGATAACTACCACCCTTACCCCGAAATACTAGGTATCGACCCGAACGCAACCCAAAGAGATTTTTACAGCGTCTGATTGACATGTAATCAATCGAAAATTATTACAATTCGTAAGCCGTGAATGAATGGGAAAAGCGAGCGACCGATTTCATTCTCGGTATCATTTTGCATTTGAGAACGGTCAATCAAATTAATATCATTTCCTTTTGTTTGGGAAAGAGAGACACTGGCAGCGGTCCACTCTACCCATGATTATGGGTTTTGGTAAAATATACAATGTATAAAGAACATACATTGCTCATACAATTCACCTACAACCATTTCACGGTGGTGCGATACTGGCACTGCACTGCTACTAGCTATTGTGCATAATAACAGCAAGCGCGGGAGGGCTCTGGTTATGGGTTAGATATAAAGAAATTTACTCATTGTATTTACTGGGAGGCGCTCAGCCTGTCAATGACAATCAGCCGAATCTTTATTTGTTTACAATGTTTATGAACATTTGCATTATAGCCTGTAAAAAATAACATGATTTTGTCCAGCAAAAATCTACCAAGAACTAATATAACACTCTTAAAAGTAAAATAAACCACAGGAAGGTCTGCAAGCAATGGTCATGTATGATGTAAATTATAGCTTCCTTGTTCATATTAATCATATTCATATATTGTGACTGCAGTACGCGTTAAAAAACAGCTAAAAATACGAATGTGTTTAAGCGAACTAAAGGGTAAAACTTAAGTTCTAACCAAACTCAAAGCGCCCTCTGATCGCGCTAATTGCAATATTAGTAGCGTCACGTCACAAGCGAGTTACTTAGTACGCGTAGGCCCATGTAATGTGCCATGGTGACTGTTAGGTGAATTTGGTGTTGAAAGGAAACCATACTTAATACAGACTACAGTGCTTCACGTAACGTAAACTGGTCACCTACCTACACTCACTAATTATCTCAAATTCTAACGCAATTTGGAGTAAGGGGCCATCTACTTAGGACGTCGGCCAAAATTGCAAATTTTCAGACCCGGACGTCCGGATTTTCAGAATGCAGAAACCCCCATTCCCCCCTCCGATCCCGGCTCCCTTTCTGGATTTGTCCGAAATTCAAAAACCACCCTTTCCAGCTATTTTCCTTGTAGGTTTATAAGTCAATATAACCTATAACCAAGACATTGTATCACGTTGTGACCCCCACGGTCGTTTCACTATGCACTATGGTTTTTTACGTTTTTACGATACAGCTAGTGGGGAGCCGCGCACTCGTGCGCGGCGCACAGGAGGGGCTAAGTGCAAAGATACTGCTGCTCACTGCTGCTCATACAACTCTTCCAGATCATACAACTCTTCCAGATCGTTGCTCTGCGATTTAACAAAGCAACAGTCTCGTCTTGCTCTAACCAGAGCCCTCTCGCTTGCAGTAGCGCGCGACCGCAGTACGCGTATAATACAAATGGCTATGTGAAGGTCTCGTCATGTGCGAAATGAAAATGATAGTTAATAGTGCGGCGCGTCGAATGTCGAAGCGGCAAAGTCCTTTTGCAAAAATGGCCCCTAACCTGCTAGACTAGAGGTAAATTTTGAAAATTTGGGATTTGTAATATTGAATATATTGTACTTCAACTTGTATATGCTGTAGCTAGCACGATCTAAATTTTCAAACGCTTATCACGTGGTAGGTTTATAACCTATACCATGACCAAGACGCGCGCTTAGTTGGACTCGTCGACGGTATGAAACAAATATTTTATAAGTATCACCCGTTATTTTTTTAAAAGGACGTTCGCCAAAATTTGAACGGAAATTAAAAATAATCGCTATCGCGCTAGGGCCTCCAGCGTCCAATTAATGAGCGTTCAAATAAAAATCGATAAGGTAAGCCAAAGCGTAGGGAAATATTTTCACTCTTCAGTTTACTTTATAAAACAAAGATGAAGAACTGATAACGAATTATATAACATAAAAATGAAAACAATCACATCATCAAAACATGTAAAATAAAAAACATGTAGTTGTACTAGGGGGTGCACAATTGACAATAAAAATATAAAACTTGCTCGGATTTTCAAAATTTTTGTACCATTGTTTTCTAGATAAGATAGAGACTGTGAGAATTTTCATAGTACCAAATTTGTTACACTTTTTTGGAATGATCAGTGAGTTTCACCTAGGTGCCATATTTGATGGTGCGCGGTTTTTGGATTAACGGGTGATACTCGTAAAATATTTGTTCCATATAACGGCCAGGTAGCTCAGTTGGTTAGAACGCAGTTCTTAGAACGCCAGCAATCGTGAGGTTGCAAGTTCAATACCCGCTGTCTACCTAGTCGTGGGGTGAGCGTCGTCGACGTTCTGCTAAGGATCCCATAAGATCTATGCAGCCTCCCGGTCCACCCAGCCGAATGCTCGAGAAATCGTGTGTGAGGGTTAAATGGGGAGCTGTGCAATATAGTACAGCGAAAAAGCAAAAACTCAATGGATGGTTACCGTAATGGGTGCCACATGCCTAGCATGAAATATTTCCCTACTTACTTGCACTTGTGTCATGTAGGTCTGTAGAAGCATTAGAATCGGGCGTTGCCGGCCACAGGCTATCCCGAATTTAGAAGCTTGCTTTCATCATTCATCATCCATATAATTATACAATTCAACGACGAGTCCAACTCGGCGCGTGTCCTGGTAAGTTGTAAACTTGTATGTTGTAGCGCGATGCGTTACCTGAGGACCCCAGGCTATTATGTTCATTAACATAATAATAATGAATAAAGATTTGGCGGAATGACAGGCTGAGCGCGGCCCAGTAACGCGATGCGTTACTGTGCCGCGCCGCGCACTCAATGAGGCTTCTCACAATCTCACATCGAGGCTTCTCACTTGATAGATCGGCGAGATGCGCTACTGTGCCCGTGTGCCGCGCCGAGCTGCGATGACATCGTCAATTAAGTTGTAAACCTACAACTTTTGGAGCAAAATTAAGTGTAAAAGTCGCGTAATTTGACGAAATTCGTTGATTTTTGTCGTATTATTCTTTTATATCTTCAGTTCCTAAACATGAATCATGCTGAAAATTTTTCAGAACCTTCCAATCATACTTAATTACCGAACCTTAATTAGTTGGGAGAAATTGGCTTTGATTAAGAGGTCTAAAAATGACAAAATAGGTATAAGTTCGTTGATAACTCAAATTCTGACCATCGAAATTGCTCAAACTAATTTAGGTTCAGTAGAACATAAGTTTTTACGTAAGCTGACCAAATTTCAACAAAATTGTTATATGGGAAGTATTTCAACTTTTTGATTGTTTCCGAAATAATGTGATGGCCGAAATAAGAGCTAAAAACCATTCAATGGTCAGCGCGCGCGTCTTACGGTCGATCGCGCACGGCCTAGTTGTACAAAACGTAATAATAATATCGTTCAAACACCCTTCTGTGTTCTGACATGATAGTGATACATTAAGGATTTAGGGTAGAGTATGATCATATAATTCATACTTCTGATTAAGATTCTTCATTGGTGATTGGGAAGATTTACAAACATTATCTAGGTAAACTCAACAAGAAAATGTCCTTCTGCAGATAAAATTGTCATCTAGATGGTGAGACGTGATCCATAAAAATAATAAAAATAAAAAATAAATAAAAAGGTAATATCATTATCATTACTTTAAAATTGGTTATTTTAAAAAACAAACAAAAATAAAGTCGTTATTAACACGTAAACTAGACTCTGAAGAAAAACTTTGTAATTTCAACAATTAACGTGTAACGGCAACCCGAACCATTCAGAGGTATTTCTACGTAGATCATTCTATTTTTACGAGTCTAATAGTACTGTAGTTAGCATGCAATGTTTGTCAATATCATTTCCAATATCAAGATACAAATACTCAAAGCAATTCCACTCTTGCACTACACATCTTCTTCATCTAACTCATTGAGATAATCCTCGTCAATGGACAAGCCATCGAATATTTCGTAGCTATTGTCACACGGCTTCCAAGCAGCATCACCAAATCTACCAAACTTTTGCTTGCGTTCCAGCGAACCCTCTGAGCTGATACTAAACTTGCTGCGTTTCCAAGGAGAGTAGGTTTTTTTCCGGTGATTATTATGGCGAGTGTTGTTCCTCAGATCACCCAAGCCGGCTTTGGGGATAGGTCTGATCGTCGCTCTGTTTATTAACTTATTATCCGGGATAAAATACACAGGGTGGTTCTCGTCCTGTGACCCTGATAGAGGGATGGAGTATTGACGGTTTTGTCGGTCCTGAGAGCCGGTTAAAGCCAAACTGTGTCTCAGTGCTTTTTGAACTATATTACCATTATCACACAAATCCCAGAACATGTCCTTCCCTGTTATCACACAACCTTGCGAAATATTAGCCCCTTTGCTGCGATTAATCAGTGAGTTTGACGGAGGAATGAAATAAGTGCAAGAATTTCTGAGATCTGTAGTGTTTGGCAGAGGGAATTGCATTTTATGAGCTCGTTGGACAAACACACCCTCAGGACAAAGATGATGTCCTCTCACGTGGTTATGGTATCGGGATACCAGCCTCAGATCGTGCGACTTAAAGTTTTCCACGAGCGAGTCTTTAGAACGGATGTGCTTATTGGCTTCGCGCCCAACTGAAGCGTCGGTTGGAATAAAATGCTTTCGAGTCAGGTTAACGACTGTGCAATCGTTTCTGTCGTTGTGGGTTTTCGTCCCTGTTGCGTCATTAAAAGAATTACAGTCAATTACATTCAACCGTAAGTTTACATAGTCACTATCCATATTGAGGGCCCATTCAACGACGTTATTTTGAAGAACACAGTCTGAATTCTGAATGTGCTCATTTTTTTGATGGATGAAATTATGGTCCTTTGATAACTTGTGGACAATATTCTGAGCAGCGAACTTTCCACTCTCATTCATAACAAAATTAATAACACCACCCGCAGTACGGAAATGGAGTTTACCCTTGTTGGGACCCTTGGTGTTATCAACAGCTGCAAGATTCTTCCTTGTGTTTTGTTTCAGGATGAGTTCTGATTCTCGTTTCTGAAATGTGGCATGTTTTGCAATGTTATCTCTAAGTCTCGCATCTTCGATCTGACGGGTAATTTTGTCCTCGTTTGCATCGTTCCTCTTTTTGCCGTCGTACCAGTTCATTATCCCACGAATGTTAGAGTCATGTTTTGTCTCTCCTTCCAGTGTGGTCCGTACAGTGTGGGCCCGATCTAACTTTATGTTTTCGTCTTGATACTCTATGCTCGCCTCTACTACTTCGGGGATTATTTCAGCTGCTCTCGTTTTTATCAGCTCATCAATTCTTTGTTCCTCATCGTTCTCGTACACTTCTCTGCTAGTGTTCTCAAGAATTGATCGCAAATATTCTTCTTCCTTTTCAATGATTGACTCGTTGGCAATAATCCGACTTTCCTTCAAGTTCAACTTTCTCAACATTTTCAATTTCTCCTCTTCCTCCTTTACCTGTCTGGCTAAATCTTGATCGACAATATTTTTGTCAACAAATCCAACTATTAGTCTTTCTTCTTCTGTGTTCATATTCCGCGCATACTCCGCATGCAACTCAGAAGGCTCATTCTCCTCAGCACGATTCATTACTGTCCTTTCTTCGTCTTCATTTTCATCACGAAACGCAGGGTTCTGATCCTCAAGGACAACTGCTCTCGTTTTCATCAGCTCATCAATTCTTTGTTCCTCATCATTCTCATACACTTCTCTGCTAGTGTTCTGAAGAAATGATCGCAAATGTTCTTCTTCCTTTTCAATGACTGACTCGGTTGCTACAATCCGACTTTGCTTCAACTTTCTCAACATTTTCAATTTCTCCTCCTCCTCTTTTACATGTCTGACTAAATCTTGATCGACAACATTTTTGTCAACAAATCCAACCGTTAATCTTTCTTCTTCTGTGTTCATATTCCGCACATACTCCGCATGCAATGCAGAAGTCTCACTCTCCTCAGCACGATTCATCACTGTCCTTTCTTCGTCTTCATTAACGTCGCGAAACGCAGGGCTCTGATCCTCAAGGATGGCTGCTTTCGTTTTCATCAGCTCATCAATTCTTTGTTCCTCATCATTCTCATACACTTCTCTGCTAGTGTTCTCAAGAATTGATCGCAAATGTTCTTCTTCCTTTTCAATGACTGACTCGTTGGCAACAATCCGACTTTCCTTCAAGTTCAACTTCCTTAACAATTTCAATTTCTCCTCCTCCTCTTTTACATGTCTGACTAAATCTTGATCGACAACATTTTTGTCAACAAATCCAACCCTTAGTCGTTCTTCTTCTCTGTTCATATTCCGCACATACTCCGCATGCAACTCAGAAGGCTCATTCTCTTCAGCACGATTCATCACTGTCCTTTCTTCGTTTTCATTTTCATCACGAAACGCAGGGTTCTGATCCTCAAGGACGGCTGCTTTCGTTTTCATCAGCTCATCAATTCTTTGTTCCTCATCATTCTCGTACACTTCTCTGCTAGTGTTCTCAAGAAATGATCGCAAATGTTCTTCTTCCCTTTCAATGACTGACTTGTTGGCAACAATCCGACTTTCCTTCAAGTTCAACTTCCTTAACAATTTCAATTTCTCCTCCTCCTCTTTTACATGTCTGACTAAATCTTGATCGAAAACATTTTTGTCAACAAATCCAACCCTTAGTCTTTCTTTTTCTGTGTTGCTTTCATCCCCGGGAGCTACATTTACTGAAGGGGCTTTTTTCACTTTTTTCTTTTTACGTTTTTGTGAAGATTTCGTCTTCGAATAAAGTTGGTTCATGGATTGATCATAGTTTAGGTTTTTTTGTCGTCAGAAGTGGTTGGATTTGGAAAAGACTCTAAACTGCGGTTATATTTTCAGTTTGTGGTCCTAAACCTCACACGAAGCTCCTCATCAGGTTAAAAATTAGATTAATGAGACGACAATGTTATTTGGGAAATTGAGTATAGGAATCCGAATAGCGGCACAACACTTTACATTCCTGAAAATGATTACGCTAGTGTAATTTTGCAATGTCAATGTGTAAATGTCAATAGCAATGTCAATGTGTAAAACCGATTACGGAGGGAGGGGGGGGGGGGGGGGGAGCCAGCATATTAATATTACATCTATATGTCATCTTAGTATAATACGTCCCAATCATATTTAAGTGTAAAGTGCGGTGACTCACGTCTCTCGATCAGTGACGTTTGATTTATCATGTGAACAATTATGAATTAAGTGATCGAAAATTAGCTAAACAAATTCGTTAAAGCAAACAAGCGAGTAGAAAGTATCATTATTAACAACATTTATATCAGTATAACATATTATCAATGACGATACGGATAAGCTGAATAGGTTATTGTGTACGTCGTTAAACTTAAAGCCTAAAGGTAGAGTTGAATAATGAATCAGCAACTCCATCATCATGAGGACTGAGGCTTGGCAACATTCCAGCAAGACAAACTCGATGTGGTAATACTAATAACTAATAAAAAGGAGAGTAGTTTGTTTTGTCAGCTGGTGCACGCCAATCCCTCTACGCGGCGCCCTTTTCACTTCTTGCATAATGCATATCCGTTGGCGTTAGGCCAGGGGACATTCTATTAATATTATACTTAGGACGTCCGCCAAAAATCGCAGATTTTCACTTTTCAGACCACCCCGGGGTGGTCCCGTGGTCTCTACCCGGCCCCTCCCCATGTCCGGATGCAGGATGTGTCAGAATTTTGAAAACCACCCCCCTAGCCTCGGCCGCGGACGTGCGGTTTTGCAGCTACTTATTTAAGACTAAGATCGAGTACAAATAAAACCTACCCAAATTCATTGTTAATAAAATGTGTAGTTACTTAAAACTTTAAAATAGACAATATTTACAATAATACATTCATATCAGTGTCGAACAAGTTTAGCACAGTTACATTCATAAATACATTAAATTATACTCGTTCAAAATACAGGGATCTAAACTTACACTTACAATTACAAAGTAATTAGTGTCAAAGAGTTGAAATAAATGGTACTTTTTCGTTATAATTCTGCCAAAATTTCCGGATGTCTGGATTTTCAGAAACCTTCTCCCTTGCCCGGCGCGGCCCTCCCCCTGTCCGGATTTGTCCGAAATTCCAAAACCACCCCCCTTCCTATTTGCCGGACGTCCTAACTCTAAGTAAATGGCCCCAGTAGCTTAGTTATACCTAAGTAATTATAGAGAATTGAGCGATGGGGTCGTTCACATATTAAGTACGTAATGATAATCCATAATCACAGTGGTGCACGCCGCCGCCGAGTTTTTGCTCACACCGCCACGCCGAAGAATAAATCAGCGGCGGCGTGAAAGTTGTATTTTTTAAAATTTTGAAATACCTTCCAATAATCGATAAAATTAAATTAATTTCTTGTGTCTTGGCACCACGCTAATTAATATTATGCAGCTACATGGCAATGCAATCCGAGTGATCAATCCTGTCACGTATCAATGACAATATGTCTGACGTCCGCGTCATCAGCTATAAACGTGGCACATGCAATGTTACATGTTATTGTGCATTGTATTTGTTGCATGATTGGGCATTTTCTTAACCATTCACGCGACGTTAAAATAAATCAAGTATAAACTGAAACTGGAAGCCAAAGCGGTATTTTGAGGCCCATCCCGTAGTACACAGTACAAATGACAGAGACTGCATTTATGTTCTACTAAGTCACAACTATAAGCATGCCAAGGGGCCACGCCGAACGCTGCCGCAAGTTTTGGCCAAATCGTCGTTTGAATGTGGGACAATTTCGAAAAACTTAACTACGGTACTAACAAAACTACGCGTTTTGCTCTAGAAACACACTTTTTTTTGAGATTTTACCGGCGTATCCTCTAAAATCATCTAATTTCTTCAATTTTAGGGAGGGGCGCCAAAAGGGGAGGGGGCGCCAACGGGTGGGCGCTTTTTCAGCGGGGGGGTGGGCGCCAACAGGCAACGTTACGCCACTGATGGGTTTGCCGTTGTAAACATGTTAACGTAAGATTTCTGGCGATGAGACCAGTTATCTGACTGTTGTTTTGGTCAGTCACTATGAACATAACGTTAGACCTTCAGAATCTTATTTGCTCCTGTAATATTCGACTATCTGAAGGATTTTAAGAGTCCTGTTCAAGGAGCACATAGCGTTGAAACATTGCAACAGCTGCACTTTCGCTTTTGGGTACTTATATCATACATATATCAGACGAATCCTTATCGCGGTCAACTCTTTGCTTCGTGAAATTTACCTGGGGACCCCAGGCTATTATGTTCATAAAAATAAAGATTTGGCGGAATGACAGGCTGAGCGCGGCCCAGTAACGTGAAATATGGAATTTACTGTTCTGCATGTAAAGTGATTTATTTTGGTATTAGGCACATTTTAACACGAAAAGCTAACGAGTTTCCCTTTTAGTTCGTCTGATCGGACTAATGATACGCACGGAGTTTTAGTAAGATTAAGAGTAACATTTTCGAAAGCTGTTGAGTTCCAAATAAAACGATATTTATTTAAAATGCTTGTGCTAGTACAAGTGTAGAATGTTTTTAAAATCAGTATCAGCAATCATAAATCAGTGTCATCGTGTTTTTCGATTTCAAAAATAACATCGATATTTAGGCATATTAAATAAATATTATGATCAACAGAATGAAAATGAAGGCTGATATATATATGTTTATTTGAACTGCAAAATCACAAGTGTTAATTTGTTTCCATAGAGTATGTTTCAATGCATAAGTCATGTATTTCATCATTATCATGATCGATGAAGCTAAAAATTATCAAACTAAAACATAAAACCTAAAGTAAATACATAGTGCTGTTACTGCTGTATAATAATATACATTACAAAAGTCCGCCCACTAAACAGTAAACTGAATACTGATATCTAATATCACGATGTTATCACATATTCAACATTTAAACCAGCTTGCTATTTATTTTCAGTTTTTTAGATATTACGTAAGCCAGCCTAAAGGAGGGGGGTTGGAAAAGCTAACAATAGCCTTGTGTCTGAAATAGCCGAAATTTGGCTTACGCAATATGTGGTCACAAGCAAAACAGTGCAATGTAATATAAATGTAATCTAAATGTAATCTCAATGCAATCTAAATGTAATGTAAATGTGCAATGTTATCATGAATAGGAATTGTGATACTAAAATTAAAAGAGCGACGACAGCACAACTTTTTACAGCGCTAAATCTTCAGTAATCTAAAAAAGCAACACAACAGCATCGTCTGAAAAATAAATGATAAACCCTAAAATAGAAAAACCATTTACTCATCTTGTTCATCCTCAATATCAGCCAACATATCATCGTCAATATCCAACTGATTGAGTTTAAATTTAGAAGGAGATACTTCATATTTCATATCCATTTCCATCTTATAACTTTTCAAATCGACCAGCTCTCCCTCAAAGTTTGATTTATCCCAGATCGCCGGTGTCCTGACAATCTCCTGATCCATGACCAAATAATGACGTTTAATATCCAACCTATCACTGTCCTCGCACATCTGAAACCCTCGTTTGATATCCTCCACCTTGACGTCCTGGTGCAACCTGTGTTCCCGGACTATATCCACCATGTCTCCCTCCTCACACAGCAAGTGCCGCTTACCCTGCTCCTCCAGTTCAGAGTCCTTGTTAAGCAGGTGCCTGGTTCCTTGGTCCTCTAATTTGGAGTCATCCGTTAAACGGAAGTCGTTAAGTATTTCGGCGATTTTACAGTCTCCGCTGTCGAGATGTCTGATGCCTTGATTTTCTAGAACAGAATCTTCATTGATGAAGAAATTTCGGACATTCCGGACTTCAGTGTTGCTTTGATCGGGTATAGAAACCGTTGTTTTAGAATCCACCAGACTCATGCCTTCGGCTATTGAAACATTCCTGTTTATATTCTCAACCTTTGTCTCAGAAGCAAGTGTAAAAACACTACTTTTAGGATTGTAATCAGAATCTTTGTTCAGAATCCATCTTACAGGACTATCGTCCAAAACACAATCCTTGAAAATGGTCATAGCTCTAGTCAGGTTTTCAATTGTAACATCTTTGTTTCGATTCCACAAAACTTCCCCCGTTGCATCCTCAAAATCTTGGGCAATATCCATTCTGAGCAGCAGATTAACTACGTCTGATTCAAGTTGAAGTCTCCACTCCCCGTGATCCACAAAGAACTCACAACCAGAGGCAGTACGGTGGGTGATAGGGATGTGTTTCAGATTCGCATCCATCTCCAGTCTCATGATATTCGGTGGGTTAGGATAATCGAAGCCTCCATCATTGTCTAGACTCACCATGAATCTCACAGGTCCGTCTTCAGTTTCAAATCTCATGATACCGTCACCCTCATCCTCCTGTAGGATCCAGTTAGCAGGGAAGGCGTGTTTAATAATTGGATGTCCATTCTCATCTAGAATATTCCCATAATCGTCTATTTGAGGCTCAGGAGTTTTTGATCGCTCGTCTGATTCCTCTGATTCCACAGGAACAGGTCGGTAGGAGCTGGACTGACCGGCTGGTTCTGGATGGTAGAGGTTTTCTCCGCTCTCTTCCTCGTCGTCAACCTCGTCGTAGTTCACTGTATTCTCACTGTCATGATATACATGTTCCTCCCCCTCTTGGGGAGTAACCTTCTCCTCCTCCTCTTCCTTTCTGTCAATTTCCCCTGACTCCTGCTCCTTTTCAATTGGACTGGCAGAAACAACAGGTATCTCTAGGGGCGAGGACGGTGTATCTGTAATCTCTGTCTGTACAGAAAAAGAGTCTCCTTCCCCGTTGAGTGATGTTTCAGCAACATTACCACTGTCAGGAGTTCCCCAGCCAATTTTAACCAAACTTTCTTCCTTCTCATCATTCTCTGGAATCGGTTCCATTTCCACCATCTCTCCACCAGGCTTCATGGGATCAGACTCCACAGTTTTAGCTGGAGAAGGAGACGAGATATCCACAGAGAACTGGTCCTTATTATTAGCATAAACCAGAGACACAGGATGGTCTGTTGTGTTGACCCCCGGACCCACCTCTAACCCCTCTCTCTCCAGCCTGCTCTCCCTGACACTAGGGTTCACTATGGTCACCATCTCGTGGTGCTCATCTTCCCCTGCTCTGAACACCTCAGTTAACCGGGGCTGGGCCTCGTTAGAGAGTAAATGTGAGGTGAGGTCTTGTTCCGGTTCTACTACATCCTCTATAAAGGAGTCCTCTTCAGAGAGTAGTGCTGATTCGCGCGGCCTTGACTTTACACGTTGCCTGGAAGGGAGGTGAGGGTGTTAGATGTTAGCATATGCTAAATGGTTATACACTATACAGAGTAGTAGCCCTGTAGCCTGGGTACTTATGATGTATAGGGAAATATGAAGGTTTGAGGTGAAGTAAGTGAGTGATCGATACTATTAATAAATGGGAGCTACTAATAAGTAGCTCTTATAATTAAGAGCCACCCAGCATATTTGTGACAATCAAGGGATAATGCCGGCTACACAATGACAGTGAGAATGTAAGAGGCTGAATATTCTTCTAGTATTTTGAACGTATAGTATTTCTAAGTTATGCAGCTAATGATTGTGAAGCATTAGTGAAATTTGCAATAAGATGTTAACAAGGAATGTGAACGTAACACCAAACTGCGGCTGAGTTTATAAAAAATTCAGATTTATGAAGATAACTTTGCATTTTAAAAAACTCAAATGAAAATAACTGCGTAAAGGATAGTACCAGCGAAACAATACTGTAAACATGCCGTATGTAAAACATCTTAGTTCATTACAACGTATACGGAATTAGGAGACCAATGTACTAAAGTTCCAGAGACGTTAAATGAAGACCGCAGACTTAATGCTGTCTCATAAAATATGCAATTTCAAGAGTACGCGAGAGAGAGAGCAGGCTATACTCACAAAATGAGCACTGCCACAATTTACATACGTTTTCAACTAGAGAAGTAGAGCCTGAAAGCACAGAAACTTTATAAAATAGCAATTTTGTGAGCTGAAAACGGAATCATATCAGCTGGGAACAAATGTGGAATTCCTCACACTCACTGTACATAGGTAAAAGGACGTCATACATGCGTCAAAAGCTTTTATTGAACGGAAGGTGGGAAAATCAGGAGGTACTTTGCGGTAATGTGGCAACTTTGCGGTAATGTGGCAACTTTGGACTCATTAGACCTTATGAGGGTAGAGCAGAGAACTATGTAATTATCATTTAAACTTTTTCAATTAAAGTGTAAGGTCGGTACTATCAAGACAGTACCATCTGGTGTTCACCTATCAGAGGCCGAGGGGGATGAGAGATGTAGTCGAATAGGTTGCTGTCACAAAAATTGATGATATAATGGGAACCCATATATAATGTATCAAGAGCAACGTTTGGAAGATCATTGTCTAAAGATATTGCTCTCACTATAAAATGTCACGCTGTACATTGTACGTAGAGATATACATTAGCAATAAGTAGGGGCGTTACCACTCCCCATTTTACATTATAAAAGAAACGGATTTTATAACAGAAAAATAAAAACAATAACAGCATTAAACCAACTACTCAACTATGTACAAAAGGCAATATCGTTCAATAATCCTACTGATACATCAGGGTAGATATAATACTGATTCTAATATACACACATTATGTAACCACATCAAGAAAATATCATTCTGATTACATTGTCATCTAGATCGCGATCCAATAAAAAGGTATTATTATCACTTTAAAATGGTCAAGTTTGTAAAAAGGATTGTTATTTACACGCATACTTGAATCCGAAGAAAAACTTTGCAATTCCACCAGTCAACCATTCAGAATTATTTCTAAGTAGATCATGCTTATAACATGCAAAGTTTTTCGATACCAATACTAAAACCTATTATCTATCAAACTTTTTACATACCAACCAAGGTACAAATACTCAAACAATTCAACTCTACACATCTTCTTCATCTAACTCATTCAGATAATCCTCATCAATGGACAAATCATCGAATATTTCGTAGTTATTGTCACACGGCTCCCAGCTAGCATCGTCAAATTTACCAAACTTGTGCGTGTGCTCCAGCGAACCCTCTGAGCTGATACTAAACTTGCTGCGTTTCCAAGGAGAGTAGGTTTTTCTCCGGTGATTATTATGGCGAGTGTTGTTCCTCAGATCACCCAAGCCGGCTTTGGGGATAGGTCTGATCGTCGCTCTGTTTATTAACTTATTATCCGGGATAAAATACACAGGGTGGTTCTCGTCCTGTGACCCTGATAGAGGGATGGAGTATTGACGGCTTTGTCGGTCCTGAGAGCCGGTTAACGCCAAACTGTGTCTCAGTTCTTCTTGAACTATATCACCATTATCACACAAATCCCAGAACATGTCCTTCCCTGCTATTGCACAATCATCTGAAATATCAGCCCCTTTGCTGCGATTAATCAGTGAGTTTGACGGAGGAATGAAATAAGTGCATGAGTTTCTGAGATCTGTAGTGTTTGGTAGAGGAATGTGCATTTTATGAGCTCGCTGGACAAACACACCCTCTGGACAAAGATGATGTCCTCTCACGTGGTTATGGTATCGAGATACCAGCCTCAGATCGTGTGACTTAAAGTTTTCCACGATAGAGTCTTTGGAACGGATGTGCTTGTTGGCTTCGCGCCCAACTGAAGCATCAGTTGGAATAAGATGCTTTTGAGCCAGGTTCACAACTGTGCAATCATCTCTGTCGTTGTGGATTTTCGTCCCCGTCGCGTCATTAAAAGAATTATAGTCAATTACATTCAACCGTAAGTTTACATAATCGCAATCCATATTAAGAGCCCATTCACCGACGTCCTTTTGAAGAACACAGTCAGAATTCTGAATGTGCCTATTTATTTTCTGGACAAAATCATAGTCCTCCGAATACTTGTGGGTATTATTCTGAGCTGCAAAATCTCCACTCTCATTCATAACAAAATTAATAAGACCGCCCGCAGTACGAAAATGGAGTTTACCCTTGTTGGGACCCTTGATGTTATCAACAGCTGCAAGATTCTTCCTTGTGTTTTGTTTCAGGATGAGTTCTGATTCTCGTTTCTGAAATGTGGCATGTTTTGCAAGGTTATCTCTAAGTCTCGCATCCTCGATCTCACGGGTCATCTTGTTCTGAATTGCTTCGCTCTTATTTGTTGTGTCGTGCTGGTTCATTATCCCACGAATGTTAGAGTCATGTTTTGTCTCTCCTTCCAGTGTGGTCCGTACAGTGTGGGCCCGATCTAACTTTATGTTTTCGTCTTGATACTCTATGCTCGCCTCTACTACTTCGGGGATTATTTCAGCTGCTCTCGTTTTCATCAGCTCATCAATTCTTTGTTCCTCATCGTTCTCGTACACTTCTCTGCTAGTGTTCTCAAGAATTGATCGCAAATGTTCTTCTTCCTTTTCAATGACTGACTCGTTGGCAACAATCCGACTTTCCTTCAAGTTCAACTTTCTCAACATTTTCAATTTCTCCTCTTCCTCCTTTACCTGTCTGGCTAAATCCTGATCGACAACATTTTTGTCAACAAATCCAACCCTTAGTCTTTCTTCTTCTGTGTTCATATTCCGCGCATACTCCGCATGCAACTCAGAAGGCTCCTCTTCCTCAGCACGAATCATCACTGTCCTTTCCTCGTCTTCATTTTCATCACGAAACGTAGGATTCTGATCCTCCAGGACCTTGTTTATGATTTGGTCCTCATGATCGATTGTTCTAGAAGCTTCGTTAGCTATAACCGTTATCTCACCATTTGCCTCGGCACCAGATAGGGAATTGTTGCTTTCATCCCCGGGAGCTACTTTTGCTGAGCGGACTTTCTGCACTTTTTTGCTTTTACGTTTTTTTGAGATTCACTCTCTGGATAAACTTGGTTCATGGGTTGATCATAGTTTAGGTTTTGTCGTTTGTAGCGGTTGGAAACGACTCCGAACTGCGCTAATATTCCCTCTTCGTGGTCCTCAAACAAAAGTCTCCATCAGTGCCTAGCCTGTAATATATCAGAAAAATAATCAGCGCCAAGATAATCTTTAAGTTCTAGCAGATATGATAATGTGGAGCTTACAGAAATCAAACCGTATATAATTGCGCTAAGTAAGGTTGGTAAAGAAAAGTTGCTCTTGAATAGAAAACACTCGTTTAAACAGACTGATCAGTTATAAGGTGCGTCACTAGAAGAATGATCTAGAACAAATTTCACAAAATAAAGTGTGCATCTGTTTTATAATGCTCTGCGGGAACTAATGGAAACATAACAAAGAAACGATTACACCTAAACGAATGTAAGAAAGCACGCATCGTTGCATCTTTGTGGTATTGTGGATAAGCTGCATATTCTTTTGAAAGCTTTCAAACAGAGAGTTTATAGACCGTACTGAGGCCGTATAGTGGCCATACTGAGGCCATATAGAGGCCGTATAGAGACTGTATAGAGGCCGTATAGACTATAGAGGCTGTATAGTGTATAGAGGCCAAACCTAAGCTCCCAATTTCCCGAAAATGTGGTTTTCAGAACCGGATTATTTGAATACTTGCTTAAATGTCAAATTGAAAACCGCACAATAAGCACTCCAGAGTATTATATGGGACTACTGAGGTTTACAAGTTGTCGTTCTGTAGATCATCAAATATGGGAAAATGAAGACATTATAGTATTCCGTAAGGTATAATGGCTGCAATCACCTTCGAATCGCACGTTGCATGCCCAGGGTTTTTTCACATGTTGAGGCAGAAAAGGTGCACGACCACCTACTCCACGATGGCATCTAATACTATTACTACACTAATACACTACTATTACTACATTAAGCAGCTTTCGTAGTTTACAAGGGATAAGTAGGGCATTATTAAAGTTTTCAAGGACAGTAGAATAAGTAACAGAAGAATTTACTAAACTAGCTTATATCTTTATATAATAAATATATACAGAATAGAAATATTATCAAGACAGAAAACACGCGACAAAATTCCGGACAGTAATGTTTGTTATTATCCAAGAAAGCAAAACCAGCATAGTTACAGAAGAATGTAGAACCAAATTATCTAAGTTGACTGGTAATTACTTGTGGGCAAATTGAAAACTGCAAATAGTAGCATTAAAATTGAAGATATTGCACAATTAAGGCACTCAATAATACTGTACACAAGTATAAATATTGAAACACACCACAAATCAGAATACCACAATGTGATGATCTCACCAGCTCACTATACAATCTGTATCACACATAGCACAAGCTGCTGAATAGCACTATCTACACGGCTCTCTTGTAGTATTATACAAGGGATGCGTAGGGCAGGTATATAATACTTTCTACTTAGGACAATACATCATTAAACTATGTGTGTTTGTACACACACACACACACACACACGCTCTAGCACACGTATTATAGCGAACATAAGCTAACAGCTTGCAGTAATGTATGCTCGTATACTATAGCAACAGTTGCTAGGATACTAAATGGTGGTATACAGTGAGCCATGTATATAGTGAGGTATACAATTATAGTGGGCTATTTTTGTTTCTGTTGCTAAGTGACAAAACATTAACTATTTATCTGCTATAAGCTATTAGAATGCCAGTGCAACTTTAGGAGTGTTGCCACAGCATAATGATGTAATAGATGTTTTCACACTGTGTAGGTTTCAAATTTACAATTACAAAGAACAAATTTATCAAATTAACACATGTAAAACACTCGAATTCCCAACACTTGAATTAACAATAGTAAATTTTACAACACAACAGCACTAAAGCTTAATAATGTACACTATATTATATTGGCGTTAGTCGTGTTGAAAGTTGATCAGGTTTTGGAGAGATAAAGAGTAAAAGAAACAGTACAGAATATCACTAACTGTTGAAACCTTTATACTTTATAATATACATGCGATGCTGAGATAACAACCATTGAAGGAGGGTAGGAACCGCGGAAAAGAGGTCTAGCTACAAAATTAGCGAGTTTAGCGCATATCAACATTCTGACCGTGTCGCAACAAAGGAACAAGCTTCCCTAGCGAGGGTTTCGTAGTAATCGAAGTTGCCAGGGATCAAATTACACATGCTGTGCGTCATTTGCTTCTAATTAAAGAATATACGATATGCTATGGGAACGATGTAAATAAGTAGTAAACAACTAAGCTGCGACCACAAATAACTACTTTAAAGTTTAACATTTGAAACAACTCGTGGGATCTAAGTGAAGGTAGCAGAAACCCGGGACTTACATCAGATCGTCTGATTTAATCCTATCAAAAATAACTTCCTAGTTTTTTTTTAATAGTTTTTTTTTAGAGAGGCTGGGCCTGGTTGGCCCACGAGAGGATAGCATATGAATGCTTTGCCTACCTCTGGGGTATGGCAGTCCTGTGGGAGGATGCCAGTGGAATCAAGATGTGTAATCAAGGATGATGGTAAGTGTTGTGGGGTGTGTCATAGATAAACGCTTAAGTGGTGGTTGAGTGTGGAAGAGAGAGGCGAAATAAGACGGCGTTAAAGTAGTCGCTATGTTACACCTGTCTGGTCCAACTCCTCTGGCACCACTAGTGTAGGCGCAAGTTCTAAATTACTTTGGAATGTACTGTAGAACATAACGTCGTAGCACATGGTCAAGTACAGGCAACAAGCATAATAAACATTATAAGCATAATAAGCATTATAAGCATAATACTGAACAAGAGTTACTCAGAGTCAGCTGCTCACGGCAGAAAAGTAATTGCAGTTCGCTAATCTCTGTAGGAACATGACAGAACGCATGCATAAACAAGTAGTCGGATCCCAACAAGATAAAGTTTGTCAACGCCAGAGAAAATAGTATGTATACGCATTGTGAAATGTTCTAAAAATAATCTATAACAATAATGAATCATTAGGTAACTTGTGTAATCGCTGTTGTTTTAACAATGTATCCGGACGTGGTTGCAGTGTTACACAGTGTCTTTATCTTGAATATCTGTTAAGTATACATGGAGGTACATGTTCAACTTCAAACAATGCTAGAGACAGTAACATATATCTACTCTGTTTAAACTCACTTCCGTGTGTCAGGTCAACATGGCAACACCAGTACGAAGATAAATATATACATAGTATAATAATCTAGAAAAGTTCAGAAATTTGGTCATTTTTGATCCTCTGCTGATTTTGAATACCATGATGAAATGAATGGATGGGACTTGTGTAAGCTAGTGACCGAGATGGTGTTGTTGTGGTGTTTGTGTGCAGCACAGCTGGTACGTGACCCATGTTATAGTTTACAGCGAACCATTATGTTGGAAAAATACAGCGAGTAATTAAAACGTGCAAGTGAATCAAGTTTGTAAATCGTCTGCCAAAATTGTAGAATTTAATAAATCGAAATAGACAATATTTGTTTGATTGTATAACTACTTACATATTCCATTTCAGTCCTCCATTAGAATATCAGTATTTACCTGCAAAATCCGGAAATCAGGACTAAAATTGGGCGTTTACTGATTACTGTGCTGTAATGCTACTAATAGATTAGCTGTGTACAGATTACGTGCCAACAAACAAATGAGTTCAATTATTACAGGGATATGATGCGATGACGCTGGAGAGAAATCACATTACTTTGAAAACAGAGGATTTAATTTAGATGATATTAGATTATATACTGATGATGTACTTACACGTTTAGAAGTTAGAAGTTATCGTTCGTCTCCCCAGAGGCGATCACATTTTCAGCTAAACAAAAGAGTGGGTTAACTGGGCAATTAAACGCATGTCAATTAGTGCTCAAAATATGGTATGATGTAAAATTATTGAAGGGAAATACAAGCAAGGGATCAGTGTAAATGAAATTTTTGTCATGTAATTTTCTGAAATACTTCCTGAAATTCATGTTTTTGTTTGCGTACTGTACTCGCGCATGCAGTGTCCCGCGCACATATTTTCTATTTAATTTTATTGGCGCGTTCCATACTCAATTTTAGGTAGACCCTTTTCCTGCCAGCACACATTTACACTTGAACAAGGCTCGTTACTGACCAATTACAAGCTAACAAAAATAATATAATAACCAGAGTAGCGGAGTTTTAAGATCTAGCTATCAAAACAAGTTAACAAACAAAGTTCAGCTTATAATGGGGAAGCAACTGAGAATTTGTATAGCATATCATGTATCAAATTCCTGAACTATCTATATAAGTAGTGTGTGTGTGTGTGTGTGTGTGTGTGTGTGTGTGTGTGTGTGTGTGTGTGTGTGTGTGTGTGTGTGTGTGTGTGTGTGTGTGTGTGTGTGTGTGTGTGTGTGTGTGTGTGTGTGTGTGTGTGTGTGTGTGTGTGTGTGTGTGTGTGTGTGTGTGTGTGTGTGTGTGTGTGTGTGTGTGTGTGTGTGTGTGTGTGTGTGTGTGTGTGTGTGTGTGTGTGTGTGTGTGTGTGTGTGTGTGTGTGTGTGTGTGTGCCGGTGGCAAGTGGTTTAATTGATGGGTTTGCACCACAAATGTGGCATAAAATGGCTCACTGTTTCTCCCGCTCCTCCTTGCTCTCTCCACCATTACTGCAGCGTTGGTACATAAATCATAATCAGGTTAGTCGCAAGATTCCCTGTTATGTAATACTATAAGCTTATTAGGGGGGGGGGGGACACTCAGAATGAAATTTTGGTCTGTTTGGACTGATAGAGTTCATACTTTCATACTACAATGTAATACATGTTTTCGAATATAATAGGCGGGTTTATACTTTTGCATTTCAACTGAAGTCCCGTTAGGGTCGGGTTACACTAGTAGTTATTATAATATGTTAATGCATTCCGAAACTTCGTTACGAGGTGATTTCGACTTACTCGACTCGACTTAGGGCGGCTTCAGCGTCCGAACAGAAATAGTCTTCTTCCAAATCTTTCTATCCAGCATGAGTTTGTTAATCTCTTTGCTGTCATCAAGCCCCGTGTCCTTTCGAAGGATGTCAATGTATGTGAGATGTGGTCTTCCCCTTCGACGATGTCCTTGAAGGGGTTCCCAGAAGTGTAGTTGATGACTCAATAGTTCTTCATGTCTGGCTAAATGACCTGCGAGTCTCATCCTCCGTGCAGCTATCTTATCAGATGCTCTGATGAGGTGCCCATACACCTTGGCGTTAGTCTGCCGCTCTTTCCAGTCAATGTTCAGTGCCATCCTCAGCATTCTCGTATAACATCCATCAATACGTTTTGCGAGGGTCTGGCTGACAGTCCATGTTTCAGAGCCATATAGAAGGATGGACTCGACTGTAGCCAGGAACAGTCGTATCTTGAGATCTCTACACATATCCGACTTCCATACAAGCTTCATCTGGTGACACGCTCCCCATGCCTTAGCTTTCCTCACTTCGAAGTCCTTCTCCGAACTCTTCATTCTACTACCCAAATATACGAAGTCATCGACTTTCTCAATGTTCTTCCCACTCCCAGCAACCAGAGTCGGGTTATCATCATCTCTTATGTTGATTCCCATGTACTTAGTTTTTGATTTGAATGGGTCCCAATCCCCATCGAGTGTCTCCAATGATAAACCTTCATTTTTTTTACTGACTACTAGCATAATCTCTAATGCACTGGTAATATTGTTAATTAATATAAAAAATTAACAAAACTTTTTTACAGAACTTTTGTGGTAAACATGGTCTTTTTAACTTCAATATTTCCATTTTTGTTCTCTTAAAGTTAGTAAAAACAACAAAATAAGTAACAGGAACAAATAAAATACCGAGCATAAATAATACGAGTGTGTAAAAGAAGGTAATAATATGACCAGTAAGGCGGTAATAATACTGTAATGTAAGTATGGTTTAAATATTTTGAACACGTCTTATATATATAATAAGTGTTATAATATGTTATAACATACATATATTATAAAAAAGATATAACAAATAACTAAGTTAGCGAATGTATTACTGAGGGTGTATGACGTATGTATTCAGACTATAAGGTGATATAAATGGGTCCAAATCCCCATCGACCGTATATGGGGAACATATCTTCTCCTTTATATGTTATTCTGAGAATAACCACATTGTATTTGTTGACCACTAGCATTGTATCAATAGAGATGTGGTACAGTGCAATAAAATATCGTAAAACATATATTTGACCTATTAGCCACCTCTAATGACCCGCTATAATAACTACTCCAAGCAACAATTTGTGTGGTATTGTCTAGAAGTTCCGACACTTAAAGTTGATGACAAGTAGCGTACAGTGAAACCCTTCATGTTGATTCTTGAGACACCACACTTTGTATACTATATTATCACATACATATGTATTTTAGTGCTCAGCAGAGATCAAACAAATTCTCATGATTTCTTTCTTGTTTTAGTGCAACTTTCACCCCTTATAAGGTTCCTGATCTCTTCTTTTCGCAACTGATCGACTGGATCAAGTGCAAGCTGGATCAAGTGTAAGCTACAGTGAACAATGTCATTATAAGACCACCTGTTCACAATGATTAAAGGTATCAACATCAGCTGTACAGTGTAAATTGTATGTAAAGATTAAAAATGTCTAAAGAAATATATTTAGAAAGTAGTGTTCGGATAAACTATCGATGATTGTTGTTCAATCGGAATCTAATGGCAGTTAAAAATATTTTATATGATATTACACATGCTTGCTGAACATATTCCTGCCAATACAACATGATACAATGTGTTACAACAAGGATAAAGTAATCTAATAACATGTGTTTATAAACAATATCAAACCACGAGCCTCACCAAAACCAACATGATACACGAGATGTTATCTTGAGTTATTTATTTACTCTTAGTCTAAATTCCCAGGCATATTTAGTAATGCATCACATTGCAGTTTAGATTTGAGTTTTGAGTTAGTTGCCTGAATGACTACTATGGCAACAAACAAACAAACAAATATGGTGTGAAAATAAAATATGCTGTAATGTGATTATGATGTAACGTTATGTTAAATGTGAACAATTTAATTGGATTTCGCTGGATTAAGTTTAAGTTAGCTTCCTTAAACAAATAAGCTATTTACAATTTTTAATGTGACTGTGTGTTGTGTGCTTTAAAAATCGTCCATAAGCCGTAATTTCAGATAAACAAATTCAATCTAATACAATCGCCAATTTAATGTAATAATGTTCGTAAACCGCCTTTACATCACCCTTCAAACCACCATCATATTACAGTTAATTCCAATAAAGATAATACACAGGGCCGGGGACTTGTCGATTTGCAGATGAAATTACGTAACTACTCAGCCATAGATTCTGCTGTCATAATTTGAAAATTCAGTTTTTGAAGACTACGCCTATTGAACAATAATTTGAATATACTGGTCTTTTCGAACTTGCTAAATAGTTTGTCATTAAATGTGGCATATGATCTGAAACATTAAGGGGTCAGAATCATGATGTTATCAAGCACAATAACCAAATCCCAATCAATCTAAATATAACTACAAAATTTTCGAAAGAGTGATGATTTCAACTCATTCCAGAAAGAATAAAATCAAAATCTGAAAAAGTAATAAGCCCAAACATTGCAGTAGTGACTCTTTGTATTATGATCTGAGGAGTAAAATATCTGATTTTAACTGAAGATAAATTGGATATTCAATTTGCTGCTAAACATTAATGAATTGCCAGCTGGCCAGATATTTAAAGAATTAAGGTTAAGCAAAACTACTGTTACATAGGTTACTAAAAAAGTCGTACATACAACGACTGTACGGACATCAACCTTGGTGTTTTCACAGGCATGGAAAATAATGTATACTACTGTTGCAAAATAAACGGTGAACACATGACCAAGAGAAAAAACACAAACTTCGTTTCAAGCACATTTCCAATCAATTTCAACACTGCCTCATTTCGACGGGACTGGTAGCATTTTTTTCATGCATAATACCGTTCATATTAGTTGTAACTTGTACTTATGTGATTGGTACAGAGATTTTTAATCCCTCTAATGGTCCTATATGTTTCATGTTCCCAACTATATTTTGCCACCATTGTATTACAATTCATTATATAAGCGCTCACCTTTGATTGGCGATAATGTCAGCTTGGAACAATATTTTCCATGACATTATTTCAGGAGAATTTTCATGAAGATCCCCCCCCCCCGGCCCCCGGCCCCCATAAACAAACAATAACGACTTATTTCCAGTGGTGTAACGACTGACCACGCTGTGCACCGCTGATTGTTTCCCATTAAACTTGATGCAATAGAAAATAATGGCTGGAAAAACTGGGACAAACTTTTAACTTAACCTAACTTGTTGGTTCATGGTTTTTGTCTTTTAGTTTTGGGGGCCGGAAAAGGGTGAACATTTTGAAACAGATCAATTTCACAATTGGCAAGTAGTTAAATCAAATAAAAATTCTAATTTGACACTGGTCGTTGGTGATTTTATAATCACTTAAGTTACATCCATGATCGAAGACTGTCTTTAAAGTCAGTGCAACTTAATATTGCTATAAGGTTTTCATGATACCTAATCAATGCACAGTGACTACGGAGAAATGTACAAATTAATAATCTAACTGAGCTATAACAGCAGCTGTAAACTACAAAAATGTGATTGAAAAAGGGATTGACTTTTAATTCTCACTATCCATCTGAAAATCATGGTAGAAAAGTTTGAAGGGAATCAGGAATTCGAGCTCTACAAGATAATGAAATTCCGTGCTCCAATATCCTTACATGAGGGTTACACATGTTCCTCGAGGAAACCCTG